CTTGTGGGGAGAAGAGGGTAAAGTGAGGGGGCTGAAAGCCTCAAACTTCATACAGAACTTGATTGCCAAGCCATGCCACCTACTTTTATATCTTAGTCTACTTTAAAACTTAATGCGAACCCTGAAAGTGTCTAGGAAAATTTAACAGTAAAGTGTTTAAAAGGGGCTATATTATTTTAATTTCTTACACATGACATGAAATGATAAGATGACCTCTTTTTTTAGCAATTTATTCTTTTAAGTAAGTTACATTAAGGGGTACCATTTTTCAACAGAAGAAACATAAAAGGGGTACCTGTACTGTCACTATGTTGGACCCCTTCCTCGCAAAAACCCCCATAAAACTCATCTGCAGTAGGTGAGCTAGGGCCCTGGTACCTACAAAGTTGTTGGGGTCAGACAATGTTCTAGCGCAACAATGCTTTAATATGAGGAAGGAGGTATCCATGGTAACACTGTCAGCGGCCCCCACCAGGCACCATCACAATGAACTGTTCAGTGAAATACTTCTCAACCAATACTTACCTGGCCCTGAACTAAAGAGGGAGGGATGGCTGGGAAAAAAAAAAACAGCACTAAAATGGCAAGCAAACAACAAGGCTCTAGCTAATTCTCGTGGCAAAGAACTGCAAGCAAGCAACTGCGTATACCAGTCATGAGGTGCCCTGCTAAAGGCATCGGGCCACCCCCAGCATTGTTGGGAAAACTGCTGACCAGCATTGTTTCAAGGTTAACTATGCCTAAATTACATTTAGCGACATTAGGGCCATTTATACGAGGAAAAATAAGACGCGTCTTACATAAGACGCATCTTAAATAAGACACGAACTTTCCGTATAAACGGCACATTTCGCCTAAAATAAGACGCGGCTTAGCTAAGACGCGGCTTATTAGATAAGACATGCTCGTGTAAATGGTGCAGTTCGCGTCTTATTTAAGACGCGTCTTATGTAAGACGCATCTTATTTTTCCTCGTATAAATGGGCCTAATTTATAAAACTTTGTTGAATGATGTTCTTTTGGCTCATCATGCAATCCTACCCAACAAACGTTTGTGGGCAAGGAATTTGTTGCAAAGCTCTATGAATGTCTGAGTGGGAGGCTACATGTAAATGCAAGAGTGGCTTTAGTGTTAACATGTAGTCAATTTGCCAACTTGTACGAAAAAAACTGTTTGCATTTTTTTGTGAAAACATTCCACTGACCTCTCATTATGCTGATTGAGTTATTATTCTATAATGACCATGTAACTCAACTTGATAAACATTTCTTAGGTTCAAAATCCAGCCACTGAAATTAGTTCACTTTGCTTGTGATCAGAGTCAGAGGGATGTGTTCTTGGTAAGTCCTTTGATTGTGTACCGTAATGAGATCATTATATGTTTCTGGGAAACTGCTCACCTACCCCTCCCCTAAGCCAACATTAACACTTACTTCTCACTTAGTGCAAAATGTTGGCTTAGGGAAGGGGTAGGTGGACAGTTTATCACTTTTTGCCCTTACTGTAGTTCATCTAAGAAATCATGTCCTTTTTTTATGTAACACTTTCTTCACTGTAATCCCATGGTTAGAACCTCTAATAAATGACCACTTCATGTTAGCGACTGCGACCACTTTTTGTGGTGAGCGTTTTATCATTTTTCATTAAATAATGATCCAGGCAAGACGGAAGCAGTTTCTTTTATTATGGCGCAATGTGCTTTCCTCACATAGGAATATTTTCATTTTCACACAGTGAATGCATAAATCTACAAAAAGGCAGTTTACAAAATAAAATGTATGTAAACTTCGTTTACAGGTTAAGAACCCTTTCTTAACCCAGGTTAAGAAATTTGGATCATTTTACATCTCTGGGAAACTGCCCACCTACCCCTCCCCTAAGCCAGCATTTTGCCCTTAGTGAGAGGTAAGTGTTAACATTGGCTTAAGGGAGGGGTAGGTGGGCAGTTTCCCAGAAACGTAAAATGATCCAAAAATTTTAATTTTAATGTAAGTTTGACTTGTAACATATGTACTATGTCATCTCCTTCGCAGCCATTTTTAGGGTCGTCACGCAATGCTCAACGCAACGCTTTGTGAGGAAAAATGTTGGGTGATGACCCTAAAAACCGCTGCGAAGGAGACTAATGTAGCACGCTACACTGAGAAATGTTAGTGACAACATGGCACTACATATATGGTAACTGCAAAATTGCAGTAACTAAATTCTCTTCCACAAGTAAATGTTTGGATAGTTACAATGATGTCAGTTGTCTAGCCTGCGAACATAGTCACATTTCCAGGTGACAGTGCTCTTTGCCTGGCGCAGCCAAAACCGGAAATACATCTGCGTTCACAGGCTAAACTGTGTGCAGAACTTTCCTCGGAAGAGACCACCTGTCATTCAACTCTCGTACTTGACCACTAATTGTTCGCTTTTTAGGTAGCCATTTACTTGTGGAAGCTTGACTGTATTAGAGTTAAATGACGTGAAGGGTTTACACATCATAGGATACAATTATGTATTATAGTTGTCTTTTTGTTGCTGTTTTTTTATTTTGGTTAATGTAAATGGACACGTTTTGATTTCACAGGCCATAAAAGACCAAATAAAGGATAAAGACCTTTTTGAGCAAGCCTTGAAGGAAGCCGAAGGCTTATTAAATAGAAAAGGTTGGTAACTTGGCAATCATATATACTATTTCACATATATATTTTTTATTTTTTATAGCCAAGTGTGATGCTAAGTAAAGGAAATTTAATAATATTATTTTTTTAATCCTGCTTAGGGCTTGGAAAGAGTCTGAATGAAATGGATGAAGGTACATGTACCTACCGTACTGATCATTTTTTGTTGTTGTGTAAACCGTTGTTGTTGTTGTTGTTGTTGTTTTTGGTAATTCTCTACTTCTACAACTTACTTTACTTTGAGTATTGCTGCATTCATTGAAACAGAGATGTAAGTGTTAACTGTTATACTATGAAAGTTTTGAACGCAGGAGTCTTTTCATAAGTAGGTTGAGTTTGATCGTCCGGCTGAACGTAGTCCTGAATAGGACTGTTGTTGTTGACAGTGACTGACGTTACGACAACATGTGCGGTAGCGGTAGTCATCTTTAGAGTCAAAGTGAGTCGTATCAGGTTGTCGAAATGTCAGTCACTGTCAACAACAACAGTCCTATTTAGGACTACGTTCACCCGCACGATCATACTCAACCTACTTATGTTAACTGTTATGTTCAGAACTTTTAAGTTAAACTTAAAAATTTAAAGGTTAAGAAATTACCAAATAAATCAGCTTTCGCTTTTTTCAAGTATAAAAACGTATCGCTCGTTTGTTTTAGCAGATGATGAAGTCGTCGTCGAAGAGGAAGATGATGTAGAAGAAGTTAGTGAAATTACAAAAGAAAGCAAAGATGATGCTTCAGAAAAATCAAGTGTGTTTCAATGCCGGAAGTCTTCAAGGGCCAAAAAGTAAGATTTTAATAAACGAAGGCCGTGTGTAACACACTATGCCAGATAGCTTCTGCGCCGTCACGAAAATCATACCAGATACGGCTTCTGTTCACACAAGAACGGTTGTGACGTAGCGAAGCTGGGCCGCGCCGATCTCGGATAGGTGTTCACACTATTGCTGATAGCTTTTTGTTGCGCCACGAAAAGCCGGTCTAACCGGTATCCGGTTGAGTGTGAACATAGCCTATAACAGTAGCCAGGTTACCCTGGGTGCCAGAGACTTTTCAAGCGCGGTTTCCGGTTTTTGTTGCTCGTGGCTTCGGCCTTAGGTCGAAGATCTGTCGACCTGACACCGAGGCATCCCACCACACGCGAGGAAAAACCTCTGTTACTTTGAGTGTAACCAGTACACGCCTTTCTTTCAAGTTACAAACTCAAAGACTTGGAAACAGTAAGATAGTTTACGTTGTGAGACAGCTTTGTGTTAATTAATGAAAACAGAAACTAAGTGATTTTATTTCCTTTGGGTTTTTTGTAGGCAAGTATCGCAGTACGGCAATATTTTATCATACATCCGACAGGCAAAGGTAATTGAATTTATGATAATTAAATATTGGAGAAGATTTTCTCTTGTTTAATCACATTTGGCTTTTGGGTACGTTTTATATTTATTCTCGGAAATGCCAGAATGGTATACCTGCTCTTCATGGTTTTCATTGCCAGGACAAGGGGTATTTTTTACACATATTGCGGGGAAAAAAGACAAATTTAACAATCACTCTAACAAGTGAGGAAGGTTAATCAGTGTCGTTTCCGATAATTGATATCTTAATTTTCAATATTATTGTTAAGTTCAACTTGAAGATATTGTATACTGTTAACCAGGATATCACTGTATTGCTGTAATAGCTTTTGTGTGTGTTTGTTTTGTGTTTATCGTAAGGTACGAAGTTGGCTTAACTGTGTTTGGTTTTACTTGTTCTTGTCACAGTCTGATTACTACAATCATGGACAAAAGTCCTTGGGATAGTCAGAGCATAACTTCAATTCTATGCGTTTCACAAGTAATGTCGTAAAAAGCAGTGCTGTCATTTTACAAATCCATGTCCCCTTCCCCTTCCCCACCCAATACAATGTTTAAAGATCAAAGGAATTGTGCCTTGACGGTTTCAACACTGCCCGTGGGGTGGGGGTAGGGGGGTGCAGTGTTAGTAGCACGCGGATACAATTTCGCGTGTCTTAAAAAGCATTCGAACTGTACAACTGTCCCAACACTTTTGTCCATGATTGTAGATACATATTTTTTCTCTTTTCACTTTTTTCTTCTAACTTTTGTTTGTATGTAAAATGAAGATATTTTGTTACATAAGATATAGCTAAGACTCAAGACTCTCTTTTTCTCTGTCCAGACATTTTTGCGACAGATATTGAATGGTACTAAATCATCGGAACGCCATTTGATCTACACAAGTGGCAGAGTCAGAGAAAAAGATAATTTGAAGCACAGAGCAGGATTTGGACCTATTGCAGATGACAACTTGGTATGTAGAGAAAATGATATCCTGTTCACAGACCTTCTATTTTCTCTTTCGAGATCGTCGAGCGTGCGTAGGAAAATAAAAACCGTGAGGATCTCCTCTTTAAAACTGTCTTTATTAAGCGGTCATCTTTACTAGGCGTTCGCAGTAACCTTTTCCGAGGTCCCAACGAGTTATTTTTTGTCTTCTTCTCTATTAAACAGTCGACACTTTGTCAAGATCTACCATAACAGTGCGATAGATACACATGCTCTGTGCGTGGCGTTTTTATTGCTTGTCTTTTAACAAGAGGCAGAAAGATGAGGTCAATTTGTCATGTGATGAATACTTTCATGATTAACTCTTAAGTTTGTCAAACCTTTATTAGGGAGCTTAAGCAACGACGACGGCGACGTCAACGAAAACGACATAAAAGCTGACAAAATGGCAAAACAACAACTTTGCGCGTGCGTCACGTTTTTTTGTACATTTCTTTGCCGTCATTGCACGACTACGACGTGAAAATGCCTAATTTCTCGTTTTGTGAAGGACGTGAACACGAGGCAACGACTTTCTTTTTCTTTTCTTGGACTTCGATACACTCTTTTAGAATTTAACTCCAGAAAAAATTGCCAAGATTTGACGAACTGAATGAGACAGAATAAGCGCAATAAAGTTTGAAACAGCGCGACCTCACCTTTTAAATGACGTTTTCTTAGCCATCGCTATCGTTGTTGCTAAAGCTCCCTCTTAAACAGGCAACCTGCATTAAGCGGTCAGTTGGCCTTCCCCAAAGGGTGATTGCGTAAAGGTGATGTTACGCAAGACGATTCGCAACGACGATTTTTAGCGCCACACAGCGTTGCAACATTGTTGCGAGATTGTTTCGGATGGTTACAACATTGTTCCAACATTGCAACGCAGTGTTGCGTCGTTGCATCACCAGGGGCTGTGACGCGACTGTCTGATTCATTTTGTTAATAGCCCATTTTACAGTTGCAGGTGAAAACGAGGCTGGAGTTGACCTTGTTTTGATACAGCCCTTCCTGCTTTATTATGTGAATTATGTATTTCTTATGCTAACTAGTATTTTTTAAGCAAAATTTACATTAGAAAAGGATCGAGGTTTTTATCAAAACAAGGTCAACCTCAGCCTCACGTTCACTCAAAGGCTAGGACACTAAGCACACAACTGTAAAATGGCCTATTACCGTAAATGACCTAATAAACGCCCACACTTCCAAATAAACGCCTCTTATCTAATAAACGCCCCCAGTCTAATAGACGTCCCCCTATGAGAATTACTCCAAAATACTTGGAATTACCAAAGAGGTGCAAAATCATTCAATTCATTCAGTTTCTTGTTTGATTATCAAGGGTTTGCATGTTTCATCTTGTTCAATTTCAAGTTTAAAGTGAGGATAGACTAACGATGGCAACACAATAACAATGACCGAGGATTCTGACATCGATGTTGGGATTTGAAAGTGGATCTCTAGGCGGCCTAGACGTATCAATTGATGGACTGGATATTCCGCTTTTTAAAACTCTCTTGACATTTTCACCGAAAGCATATTAGTTTGTTGAGCTTGTTGCAGTTATGAGAATAAAACGCCTTTCTCTTTTAAACGCCTGCTATCTATTAAACGCCCCCGCTTAGACCCCTAGAATTAAATAGACGCCCGGGCGTTTAATAGGTCATTTACGGTATGCGAATTGTGCGTGCTTATTTGCTGTGGAACTTGAGAACTTGACTTGTGAATGACAAAAATCACAGCGTCGTGTCGAACAAATATGTCTCACAAGCATTACATGAAACGATACAAACAACAAAAATGAACTTTGTTAAATTGTTAGGCTAACAAGTTAAAAGTTTTTAAAAGCGCTATTGGAATTCGTTTTAATCTTCTTCAAGTTTGTTCATCGTTTCGCCTCTTGCATTTGTTGTGTTATTCAGAACCTCTATTCATGCTTTGAGCAGTTATTTTTGTTTCACTCGGTTCGGTGGAAGTTCCCACTAAAGATACGGTAAAACGGGCAACAAAGAACATGCAACTTGTCTAGCAACATCGCTGCAAAACGAGTTGAATAGCGATTTTGCGCGTTTTACTACCCACATCAAACCTGTTTTGCAAAAAATCAGGTTGTTGACAGGTTTGAACGTTGGGTGGTAAAACGTGCATTACCGCTTTTCCACTCATTTTGTAACAATGTTGCAAAAGAGGTTGCACGTTTTTGTCGCCTGTTTTACCAAAGATTAAATGGAATTTTACTACAATTCTAGAAACCGCTCCTTTAACACATGATTAGTTAGTAATTAAGTTGTCCTTGGCTTTCCTTCTTTTAAACAGCGAGACGAAATAATGGGATTACTTCTTCAGTTTTATGAAGAAGTCAAAGGCTCCCCAGATATAACTTATGTGTCCGAAGTTTGGTTACCCGAGGTGAGTTGAGTTTCGTACCATTGTTTTAGTAGTGAGTTTAAGGTGGCTCGATGGGGTTTTCCTGGGTCAATACCCCCCAAGTCTGAGCATAACCTACGTCGCCATTAACAAAGATTTGGAAAAATTACCACCATAGCTGTAATCGATGAAGATGACGATTTGTTACGATCAGGGTTACAAGGGTAACGACTGCAAGAACTGGAACATTTGTTGCGTATTGGGGAGAATTGAGTAAGAAAGGAATAGACGCAAAGAGATAGAAAGAAAGAAGGTTGAAAGGGTAGACTTGAAGTAGTCAGTCTGCTAGCGCGCTTCGGTGCACTTTAGTGAGATGGCGAACTATTTGGTCTTTTGCTGTGTTCACACTACAGTGTATTGAATAGCTTTGGCGCCGGCACGAAAGCCATACCGGATATGGCTTCTGTTCCCACATAAGAACGGTGATTTCGTTGCGATTACTGTAACGGAGCGAAGCTGCGCCGCACCGATCTCGAAAGTGGAGAGTCACATATCGGATAGGTTCTGTGCCAAACTTTGGTGCAGTTTGCACAGGTATTTGGACCGTACCGGAAATGGAATCCGCTGGGACGGAAGTAATTATTCAGGAGTGAGGACTGGGAGTTATTCCACTTTTTTCGATGTGTGTGAACGACTTGTTCCAGTTCTCTATCGTATCCGGTACCGTGTGAACATGACCTTAGTTGTCCATTAATTATAGACTTCAAATTCTCTCTCTTAGCATCCTTCAAATATTAGCTATTTTTCACATACTTTTGCGCATTCCTCTCCTCCCCATTTTCTTCACTGAAAACATACTTTACCATTTATTGTGCTTAGCACTTCAGTGAAGTAAACTTGCCCGTGGCGCAAACATGATAAAATGATTGCACGCTACCTCGTCGTTTGTTTTTGTTGATGATGAATTCTGGGGCGGATCTTTAACCTCCGGGTGTCTTGGGAAGATGTCCGTGCCGGAATAGTGCATTAAGGAATCTTTGTGTCTTTTCTTGCAGGCTCTCATTTGGTCAATACAGCAAATTCAGCACGTGGATCGACAGAAAGCTGAGGAAATGTATTTAGAGGGAAGTAAATTCGCTGTGACAGACGACGAAGTGCATCAATTCACTTCCAAGCTTATGCGAAAGAATCTAAGCCAAACGGAGGCTATGGAAAGATTGGATAAGGCGGGAAAAGTCATTGCAAGACTCTTGCAATGAATCTTTCCGCCTTCTGCAATCTTCCCATTGCATTTTTTTGGCTTAGACAAGTACACAGTGTCCCTGAAAGCGCAAGAGAGAGTGTCTACAAGAGGCCCATAACAGTGAAGACGAGCATTTTGAGATAATTAAAATTTCCCTTAGAACACGATCTGGGTCCTTTGCCCAAGTGAAACTTGCTCGGTGAAGACGAGTAGAGCATCAATGGATTTCCTACCGCTGTTCGCGTTTTCAACCCACGCGCATCTTGCGTGACCCTGGTGAATAGAGGAAACCTAGTCTTGTAATGAAATTAACTATGGGAGTTACCAGTAAATTAGGAGGCAAAAGACAATTTTTAGGGCAATTCAATTAAAAGTTAGGAGGTTCGTTTGTAAATTGATCAGTTTGGTAAATCGGACAAATTTTCTTTTCATACTAGAATTCTGTACACTTGATAAATTGGGTAGATTATAGTTATTATCGTTTCTGTGAAATTTAGCAGCATTATTTTTACTTGTTATACCTGAAATCTGGGTCATTGTTGGGCGTTATACGCGTTAGTACCAGTCAATTACATTTCTTTATGTGATACAAAACTTTAGTACCTAGCGAATGGGAGCCATTTTAGTAGGTGTTGAATCGTCAAGTGTGAGCCATTTTAGAAGGACGGAAGGAAGATGTACATTTAAATAATGTCTTCGATAGGAATAAAATAGTAGAAATATTCCATGGGCTTTGGTTTCTTGGTGTGAAGTAGTGCTAATATATAAAAAAAATGCCGGAATGAGGATTTGGTTCATTTGATGAGTCCATTCAAAATTTTAAATCCTAGAAATCCCCACGGTGTGTTTTTTATAAAAGCAGTCTTCTATTGCATCGGTACTAAAATGTGAATTTACTTTCTTAACCGTTTTAATTGCCAAGACTGACCAAAATCAGTTTTCTCGTCACAATATAGCCACATAATAAAGCCCGAGAAAAGGTTTGGAGAATTAGTGAAATGATCACCTATTGTAAGGTGAAATGCTTCAATCTTAATCAATTTCTCCCACTTACCGTTTTAGGGAAGTGTATGGAGATTTGTCTAGAGAGTAGAGGGTTTAAGGAATCAAAAGCTGATGCTTCAAATGATTCTCTGGGATTAATATCAATACACAATAAAGAAAAAAGGTTTTGAGAATTAATGAAATGATCACCTAAGGTGAAATACTTCAATTTTAGGTTTCAAGGAATTCAAAAGCTGACTCTTCAAATGCTTTCGACTGGGACCAAGAGAAGATCAGAATTTAAAATCTAACTTATTAACTCAGTCAGTTAGAAAAAATGTACTACGCAAATTAGGGACTGGTCAAAAAGTCATGAGGTTTTGAGCCTTGTGGAAGGGGTGGGTTGCGCAATTTTCAGCTACCCTTAGGGGGTGGGTCACCCTATTTTATTACATAGATAGGCACTAACTACTAACGAGACAGTTGACCACACTTGTTATATAAAACACAGCCAGCTGGAATTTTTGCTAAAATATTCACAAACCTGTTGTGCAAGAAAATACAAAGGGTGACAGGCCGCACATCTATAAGGGCGTGGAACCCTTTGTTAACCTTTTTTTTTTGTCTCTAACGAGCGTGTCCTTTAATGATTTTCCTTTTTTGTAAGGAAATGATTGGTGGTTCTTTAAAAATTTATTGAAGTTATGGTTGGTTTTGTATAAGATGCCATTTTTATTATTCAAGCTTCCTTTATAGCAGGCACTGAGGGTTGGTATTGTGTCACAAATGGCAATATTTCTTTTTCCTCCTTGTATGTTTTGATTTAGGACTTTAGACTTGTTTTTGTGAATTTTATTTCTGATAGTAGGTCTTCTATCAAAGTTTGTGGGTAGCCTCCGTCCATCAAGCGTTTCTTTTTTTTAATTAGAATTATTTTCTTCAAAGGTTGTTTCTGAGCCGTTTTTTCATAGGATTCTCAAGGCTTCTCCTTTGACAAATCCTTTTTTAACACTTGGAGGGTGACACGAGGTGAAATGTGTGTGCAAGAAGGTTTCCGTTTGTTTAAAATGTGTCTTTGCATCAAGGATAGATTTTTTCTTGAATCTTGTGCCTTTGTATACAACCGTGTCTAAAAATGCTGCATCTCAGTGTCAAATGTTTCGGCCGTGAATTTAATAGTTGGGTGATGTAAGTTTGCTTGTTCAATGAAGGCTTCGATGTCTGGTTTACTCACGTCTCATAGGGAAAAGATATCGTGTATGTAGCATTTCCAAACTGTTCTTCTGAAGAAAGTTTTGCTTAGAGTTGTTGTTTCAATATATGTCATGAAAATATTGGCAAAGGAATCAAAACTGATCTCTTTGTGCCCATTGCAGTTCCATGGTTTTGTAAGTAGTGCTTTCCATTGAAGTGGAAGAAATTTTCTTTGAGGATTAATCTCAGGCCAGCATTTCCGGCAAGTAATGTGTAGGAATGGGTTGTAGAAATTTTCAAATACTTTGTGACACAATTTCAATATACCCTCGTTTTGCTGTATATTTGTGTCAAGACTCATAACGTCCATCGAAACAAGAAAGGTTCGGTTTTTCACATTTGTCTTTTCAGTGAAAGGTATGATTTCTGTGATTTTGATATTGGTTGTAACAGTGTATAAACAAATTTTGTCAAGCACAGAACAAGGTTAGAGGAAACCAAACATCCATGTTTTCACTAGGGGGTGGGTCATGCAATTTCCAACCTTGCTTTAGGGGTGGGTCAGTCATTTTTGTGCCGAAGGGAAGGGGTGGGTCATGTGTTTTTTATCAACCACATTTCTAAATGCTCCGGCCACCCCCGCGCCCCCCTATACTTTTTAACCAGTCCCTTAACACGTTTTGTGCCTCTAATACACACTGTGAAGAAAAACAATGTTGTTTCATCTATCGCTCCAAGAAAGCCTCCTGTACCATTGTTGAGATCAAGCACGAAGCCCTCTTGTTTTTCTCCGAAGTAGCCTTTATTTGGCTCCTTTTCCTCTTTGTACCCTCCTCCCCCGCTGAATTTTTGAGGAGGTGCAAAGGCCTCAACAACGGCTGCTGGGGAGACTAATTAAAACACAATAGGCATGTGTTCAATTTACACAACATTAACAGAACCACAGAACTCCGAATAAAACTTCACCGGTATTTCTTGCTGCCGGATCTCGTTCTATTCAGATGCTCATATCAGACGTCACTTCAAGACGTAAATAAACCAATATGTACAACATAAAGAGCTGATCATCTGAGAAACGCATTACTATTGGCGAGATTGGCCATTGTTCTCGGTTCGACACAGGATCTGGTGCCTGTTTGCAGAAGTCTAGTTTACAAAACTTTTTAAAATTTGATACGAGCACAGGATAAAGAAATAATCTGAGTCCGGCGGCGACAGCAATTGAATCTGGCTTCCGTACACTTGTCGGATGCTCTAACCACTGAGCTACGGAAATCAACCTTAAACGTAAAAGTTGGACCTCGCTCACTACTTTATTTACTCGCGTAAATTTTACGTGCGTTCGTTCGGGAAAATTACGCGACAGTGGAAATCAAACCTAAGAATGATGTTTAGTAAGGTCCCTTGCACCAACCTCGTCCCTAGGGCTTTTCCCTTAAAAAGTGGGTGGGGCGGGAAAAGGCCCTGGCATCGGCTGGTCACGTGCACAGCCTAAATATTCTTGAGAAGCTAATTTATATGCAACCCGCTGGTTTTGCGCTGACAGAAGTCGAACGGAGCAACAATGGAAAATAATAATATCGCGAACTGTATGTCAATATTTTCGCGTCTGTGCGATTCAAAAGCTTAAGATCCATTTAATTGCGTATTATTCAAATGCTACAAGTACCGGCTCTACGTTGTCACGTACAAAATATGTCCAATGCTTCAGAGTTGAGACAAGCTGTTATCGAGTAGTACTTCGACTGAAATTCATCGTGACTGTGGAATTACTTGATCAAGCAGAAAGTGATTTTGTCCAATGTCAAACAAAAATGCGGGCCTTTGCCTCTAGGATCTGCAGTGAATTTAAACAAATTGGACTTAAAATTGTTCATCAAAATACTTTATGGAGTCTGGTCTTCTCTACAAACAGCTTATGAAATGCCAATGGCAAGTTAGTATTTTCGATCCTAGCCACCAGTATTTAAACAGTCTTCTTCGCTCTCTGTACCTAAGACTTTACCATAGTAGCAACTGACGAGGAACGCTATAGTTCCGAAACTGCAGTCTTGCTTAAGAATCCATAGCAGTCGCCCAGATGACTGTTAAGCAAAAACTTAAGAAAATACCTACGAAGGAACAACAAGACATCGCGCTCTAGTTCAAAGACTCACTTATGTTAAGAAAAACTAAATGGACTGTGTGAGCGCTAAGAGAATTATCTTGACTGACGCACGGCATATTTCTCCAAACTTGGTGTAGCTTTAGTTTTTAAGCTACAGTGTACAACTCATATCTGAAGATCGCACTATCCGTGGAAATTCAAAATCCTGCAAACCACACTATAGAGCTGGGCCCAGAGTCATACTGACATGGCAGGAAATAATCACATTCACGGACAAAGAAACTTGCATGCATGCATGTAGTTATTCAGATACAGCCATTTCGGAGAAAACCAAAAAAACTAAAATCTTGATTCAGCCGTAATAAACAGAGGTCAAAGGATATAAAACACTTAACAACTGCATCTGAAATCAAATCCTGTCAGGGACACCTAGTACAGAAGCATAAACCACAGGAAATGATTACTCAGTATGCATGTAACAAACCTGCTTCATGACCTCTAAATATAAGACTTAGTGCGGCAAAAACAAGATTTACTCAGTCAAAGTTTAGAATGCTACACGTCTTGCACTGTGTAGTGCTAGTAACCTTCGCGCGAGAGAAAAAAGAAAGAGAACCACTGTTCAAGCAGACTCTCAAGGTCACGTTTCACATTATCACGAGCTTATGAGTCGTGTTTGGCCTGTCAACGCTTATTTCTTACTTTTCCAGTACAAACTTTAAGCATGTACGATAGCTTGTTTGTCATTTATATCGCTCTATAAAGGAAGTTTTACAAATGTTACCGCTCGCTCTCCCCTTCATAGAAATCGGAGGAAAGCAAAAAATTACCATAGCCAGTATCTGTGACAAAATCTTGTAAAACTTTTCGTTAATCGTCAAGAGATATAAAAGGCCGCCCAAGATCGCGCGCTGTGAGGTTACGCATAATTTTAGCTTTTCACAAAGCGCTAATTTATTACACCCAGGATTTTAGGGTGTACGAGGGGACACGTGACCAGCCGATGCCAGGGCCTTTTCCCGCCCCACCCATTTTTTAAGGGAAAAGCCCTGGGGACGAGGTTGCCCTTGCACATGTCCCATAATGCAATGTTTTCAATTTCTCTTGGGACGGCTGTAATACCCAACAATACCCTAGTCTGCTACACAGCCGTTTCTAGTACGGTTGTGTAGCAGACTAGTAATACCCAGGAGAAATAAAAAACAAAGTTTTTTGGGGGGGGGTGGTGGGGGGCAAATAAGGTGCATTATGGGAGATGTGCAAGTGGCGAATTGTTCTCGTGTGCGGAAACGCGTAACCTTCGGAGCCGTTCGGAGCCGAAGGGATCGGGTTCGATCTTGTTATCTCCCATTCTCTGTTTTATAAAGCGTTGTTATGACAAGGAAGAATTTGATACTGATCGTTCTTAGGGCTTTTTGAAAAATTTTAAATGGGATATTATGCTCCATAAAGTCGGGTGTTTGGGCTGCGTTCCACAGGAAACGTGCTCTGTTATGATAATTCTCGAATTGGTTTTGCTAGATTGATTTCTTTTCCAGTTCTATCCATTCTTAATTGCTTTATGTGTTGATTGAATTTTGCTAGTAATTGACTATTTTTTAATCATTGGTAGTATTAAACATTTAAATTAAAATGAGACAAATTTGCATAAATTCAAAACAACTGGCACTTTTTTAAAATTTCATCTTATGGTAATTTCGTACAACATTTTCTTTCACAGAAATGTATCTGTGAAAGTTTTTACTTTGCCTGTGGCCGCCGAACCAACCTTACGTGCTACAAAGCACTTGTAGCAGGTAACAAAAAGTGACAAAAGGTGCACGTGCCAATTAGAAGTCGCTGAACAACGTGACTGCCTGGAAGAACGATTTTGTTTTGTAAGCAAGTGGTCTCTGTACAGAGTAGGTAAGCTCATGTCCTCTTAGAGGACCACGCCTCATGCCCAGTTTTCACCCTTCCACCCCAGTAAGAAAAACATGGTTACCAAGCCCTTTGGCGCGTTCAGTTGCCCGCTCCGGCTGTTCTTGAAGAGGTTGAATAGAGCTGTTTTTAACACTTTCAGAAGCGTTGAAATATGTCTAAAAGAGTAAAGTCTAAAGCCACTGTTTCCGATAGCAGCGAAGATTCAGAAGAGGAAGTGAGTAACACAACATTTTTCGTACCTACAGAATGTATGTTCGTAGTATTTTTCAACGTGGTCGGTTCCTTGTAGTCGGTGAAACTTGTAATGTTACTTCTTTCCGTAGGTCAAATCTAAAAAGGCCAAGACGAAGGCCGACAAATCTTCAAAGCCTAAGGCCAGCTCCTCCAGGAACGAGCAGGGTGATTTTGTTTTTCAAGTACGTTTTAAACTATTTTGTAAGCGTTATTGAAAATTCTTCCTTGTAGAATAGCATGCAGCTATAGAAATTTCCAGTGTTTTCCCAAGAGCTTTCGGCCGAACGATCATATCCCATCATCCGTTGTTACACGATAAAAAGTTCCATGCCCCGTGTCCCATGGGGCAAAAAATAAATGTTAAGATATTAGTGTGGGGATGTAGGACAGGGGGTTCTAGCTGTGGTAGTAGCCATGGGGAGAGGGGGGGGGGAGGGGGGCTTGTCCTAGTAGTGTGCCCTTAACTGTGGGACATGCCAAGAGCATCGTTTCGGTGTGACTTTGGTATTATTGGAAGAGTGGCTGGTATTCAGCATATCTGACAAAGTCAAGAGTTACAGTCACAGCCACAGCCACACAGTTAAATGATCAGGACATTCTGCATTTTAGTTTGAGTGGATGTTGGAAGGGTGTTACTACAGTGTGCAAAGAAAGTAGTGTCCGATAGCCTGGGGCTAGTGGATTTGCTATTGGGCTAGTAAATTCTGTTCTTAACTTGCCGGACAGGCAAGTGAAGTTTTTGGAGGAATTCAAATTACAGAAGAACTGTGAAATCAATCTGCTTATCAAAACGTTTTTGGGGCTAGTTGAAATGATGTTTGGGCTATTTAAATGTTAGCTTCAGCTTGCCCGAATGGCAAGCTGTAAAAATGACTTTCTTTGCACCCTGGTTACTAGCTCTGCTGATAGCCCATTGGGCGATTCCAGAAAATATCCATACCATACCACGGACGGCTTTAAGGATTTCTGAAGGGGAGGGGGGATTCACGATTATGGAATTCTGAAGGCATGGGGGGGTATTTACGATTTGAAATCCGAAGGTATGGGGGAATTCCACAGGTGGGATTTCTGGAGTAGAAAGTGTAGAGTAAGTTCCTGGAAAATGCTATTGTTGTGGACTTTTGTAGTTCGTAAATAAACCACGAACGTATGACCGCGGAAGCAGAAGACAAGCATCGATAGATCAGACACGTGTTTACGCTCATAACTTATAGAAGTGAACAGTAAAACGTTGGTTTCACATTTACCTTGATGAATTTCTTGTCACGTGAATAAAAACTGAAAATGTATCTTTTAATACCGCTTGCAAATTTCTTGTTACTCCCGTCCGAAACCGTCCGATAAACAGTAAAAAACTCGCACCAGTCTCTCACTTCCAAGGAACGCCTGTCAGATTAGAATGCTTTTTGTGCGCACTACATGACGTATAAAAGGACGCAACACAACTCAATGGTATATTTGACTGCCAAAAGATTTTAACAGTCTGTTTGAGCTATTTTCCTTTGTAAACGTCAAAACAGCAATAGAAAACAAAGAGGAGTAAAATTACCTTAAGTGGTGTTTATTTTTATAGCCAAATTCGGGCTTAAAAAGGAGTTTGCACGGCCTGGCAACTAGCGTAGGTTTTTCTTGTCACTGAAGAGTAAAGCTTGTCACCTGGCGCCGCTAGATCACAGCCTTGAGGAGGCATAAATTCATGTTCGTTTGTTCTTATAGGCGTTGCTAAGTCGAAAATGTACTTCCAAAAAAAACCGGAAATTCTGAAGGGGAGGGGGGGTTCATGACTATGGAATTCTGAGGGCATGGGGGGGTAGCGCATTTTGGAATTTCCGAAGGCAAGGGGGGGTTAAAACATGGAAGCCGTCCGTGGTTGGGTATGGATATTTTCTGGAATTGCCCATTGGTGGACCATTTGCCACCCATGCAATCCAGTTGACGTGAATGTTATTAAAGCCAATGCCTTTAACAAAACGTAATAATGTGACATGTCATTTAATTTACCTTATTGACATATGTCTTACAGGATAATAAAAATTGCAAGTGGGTGGATGGACAGCCTCAAACAAAGTCTACAGGCTCCCCCACATTTTTGCTCTCCCAGCCACATTCGGCTTGCTTCACTTGCCAATTTTCTTTTTGCTTCGCTCCACTTGGGAGCATCTTCGCAAGCTAAAATATTTTGTAACCCGGGGAATATTTGTTTCTTTAAATACCAAATCCATATAACTTCTTTGTGAGTTTGATGTTGGTTGAAAGCGGAAACCGAGTGCTGAAGAAAGGAAGACCCAAATCAACTAAAATGGAATTCTTGATGCCCCTCTCAGCTATAGCTTTTCAGCTGCTTAGCAGCTCAGGTTACATTTTCCTTTCTCGATAAATCATGTACTCCCAGGGGCCCCACTCACATATTTTAATGACGGGGGGGTCCGAAGGATTTTTTTGGGTCTGACATTTTGGCCAAAAGGGATTTTTTTGGGTCTATGAAAGACACCGCGATTTTTTGGGGTCGCGAAAACAACCGAGGGATTTTTTTGGGTATTGTAATTTTGATCAGCTCAAATCAAAAATAACATTTATAAGCGCAATTCATAGTTTTGTTTTTGACCAAAACCAAAGTTGAAGTTGGCATGTTTTAGCTTTCCAGAAGATAAATAATAAAATTTGCTGATGCAAAAACACTGAGGGATTTTTTTGGGTATGCTTTTGGGTATAAAATATGAACCTCTGTCGGACCCCCCGTCATTAAAATATGTGAGTGGGGCCCCTGGGCATGTACTTTTGATTTTCCTTGATTACATTTTCTCATCTATAACAAGTGTAATACATACTTTTGCTATTCCAGCTTACTGACAAAAGGAGAGTGTCAGTGAGGGACTTTAGAGGAAAACTGTATGTTGACATCAGAGAATTCTATGAGAAGGATGGGGAATTTCTTCCTGGCAAGAAGGGCAAGTAGAGATGAATATTGAAAATGTCAGGTTTTATTATTGTAGAGCCATGTGTGGCCAAGCAGTCAACACCTCAAACTCCAGATCTGGAGGTCCGGTGTTTAAGCCTCGCCTGTTACATTAACAAGGAACTTTACTCCTCGTAGTTGCTCTTTACCCAGGTCTATAAATGGGTACCGGCAACATCCTGCTGGGGGGTAACCCTGAAAAGGACTAGCATCTCCCGTCCAGGGGGGAGTAGCAATACTCCTAGGCATGCTTCATGCTAAGGAAATCAGGATAAGCCCCAGCCATTTGGGCCTTTGGCTTGTGTGCAACTTAACTTTTTTTATCAGGTTTTATTGAATAAGTCTGGTTTTTGGCAAAATACCATATTAACGACTTGTGGCTCTCTTCAATAATGTTCAACTAGGTATATCTTTGAATGTGGAACAGTGGGAGAAGCTGAAAGACCTTATAAATGACATTGATGAAGCCATTTCAGAACGTGGATAACTCTGGATTAGGTGAGTGCACGATGTTCAGGGTGCAAAGAAAGTAATAGTTTTACAGCTTGCCCTCCAGCTTGAGCTTTCTTGCCTATATGATGTGGTTTATTCTGTCCTTTTCCTTTGCTTTTCTTCTTGATTTTTTCCCCTTTGTTTTGTACTGTTGGCCCTTTCCTCCAGGCTTTGTGGGGTTCTGCCAGACACCTATGTCTACTTTAAATCTTGTTCTTATCACAGAGTACTGTAAATAATATTATATTATACATTAAAATGTACTAGGGCTAAAATTTTGTGACTAAGGCCACTTCCAATATTCTTCCGCATATGTTTCTTGCACTTACATCCGATCCCAGAAAACATCTGTGCACACCCTTATTAATACCAGGATCAGAGGCTAGTCATGATTCTTTTTTAACATGATCTTGTTTTATTACTTCTATCTTTTAGGACTTGTTGGCACAACATATAGACATATGGATGGTAGTTTATATTGCTTTTAAATAATGTATTTATTTGGTTTTGATAATGTCATGGCTGGTAGATTGTAACTTGTGGGAATGAGTTCCCTGTTGTGTTTTCTTTGGTTAGGTGGTTGTAGTTTTTGGTCAAATTAAAAAGTAAAGATTTTGTTATTCTTTCTTATTTGTAATACAAGATTTATAGAAAGCAGAGAAAGTAACTTAAATCTATGACTGTCATGATGGTTCTTGTTGCCAAAAAAAATAAAAGTACAGTTAGTTTTATGATTTCCTATTGTGTTATGCCTTTTTCATGTTCAAAACTAATGCGTAAAAAGTTAGGATCAATATTTATTTATTTAGGTTTCTGGGAAACGGCCCAACTACCCCTCCCTCAAGCCAACATTTTGCCCTAAGTGAGAAGTAAGTGTTGATGTTGACTTTTGGGAGGGGTAGGTGGTCATTTCCCAGAAATCTAAATTGATCAAAATTTGCATTAGTGCAGCTGTCCATGGCTCTCACTGCTTGGGTAATATGGCTGTGCTCATGCATAAGGTACTGGCAGTACTGCAGAGTTTGGTAGTGTGTGCCTCCTTGCTGTTTAGGTTCTGCAGGTATGGATCCAGACTGGTTTCCACCTTTTTATATAAAGTGGTCAGATTTTACATAATAAATATCTGTCTGATTTCGTTAAAACATAGCCACTAGGTTTTCACCTGGTGCCACTCCCCGCCCGGCTCCAGGTCTGTCCGGTGTCCAAAAAAGTAGGGGGCTTGGCATCCTGGATGGCCCAGGGACTGCCGTAACAGTGGGTGGGTGGATCAGGCCTGGGGGTCAAAACTAGTGGGGTAGGGAGGGGGCTGTTTTGACACAATCCCTTCAGTAAGCAGCAGTGTTCAGTGCAGGCCTTGACTGGCATCTACCTTGGTCTTAATTTGCCCTAGCCAGCTGCCTCTGCTGAGAATGATTGTCATGATAATTGCAGAGCTCAGTGGGAGATGAAGACAGTCACCCATTGTCCTGGGTTGGGAGGGTCAAAGTCTTGGTATCAAGGACACACTTAGCATAGGACCTTTAGACACTAACTGAAGCCATGTTTTCATAAATCCAGACAGATATATTTTTTGTGAAAAACTCTAAACTTTCCAAGTTGATATCTGGAAAATGGTTAGGGCAGTCAGTAAATGTCCTGTCTGAATGACTCGGAAACCCAGGAAAGGGGACTTTGGGGAGTTAAAAGCCAAAACATTTCCCAGGGGATCATGCCCCTGAACCTCCCTAGAAGTTGAAAATCAGTCAGTATTTATTCTAGATCCGCGCCTGCTCTGCAGGCTTCAAGATTGACTGGCTATACTAAAATGTGACTTGACTCATGTCAGGAGTAGTCTCCCTCACAGCCATTTGTGTCTCATCATGTTGAAATCACCAACGGTTTCTGTCAGGGCCCTATAGCTGGGGGATGGAACAGGCAACAAGCAACACCTCTTTGGCCATCTATCCACCATTTTTCCTTTTCCCGACCAAGGAAACAAACATTTATGGTATTTGTATTCCCAGTAAGGATACACAAACAAAACAGCCAATTTGTTCAAGATGAAGCAGCAGATTTTTGGAAGAATCCCGCAACCTTGTCCCCGGGGGCCTGGGGCTTCTCGGGTTTTTCAACCACCCATGTCTGAAAAGGCCCTGGGGACGAGGTTGAGTTAACGGTTGGAATTCCTGTTTGAAGAAATGGCGGCTTTCATAGAATTTAAAGTGCCTCAAAATAACCCTATAATACCAAAAGAGCAGGAAAAGAAGAAACTAGCGCAGAAAACTCGCTCCAGAGGTCATCTGGAACGTCGATCGTCTGCTACTTTGCCATTTACTGCTTGGGTAGAACCACACCATTGCCCAGCGACACACAGCGCTCGCGAAGAAGAACTTCGGTTGAAAAAGGTGATAAAAGAAAAGCAAGAAAGGCTTAGGGGATTTCAACAAGAGGTTAAAGCGAGAGTTAGAAATCTGGAACAAATGAAACGGGAAGAGCAACATGGAATGTCTGTGGAGGCTTTTGAAGTTGAGAGAAATGTTGTGCAGCAAAGTTCGTTGCCAAGCACTGTCAGACGGGACAACTGTGTGTATCGAGATGACTCTGATCTAAAAATTCAGCGCAGTGTTACTCAAGATCTTACTGCTGTTGATGCTGCGAGTCAGCTATTGCAGGAACACGCTCAAAAGATCCGGAATTGTTCGAAGCATGCACGGAATGTACTCAGCTCGAAGAGTCTTGGAACAGAGATGGATAATTTGAGCAAGCTACTCCCTGGAGGTCTGTGGAAGACTTCGCCGACCCGAGATCATGGTTCGTCTCGGCAGGGAACTGAACGTTCAGGTCAGCAAGAACACGATTCGGAAGATTTAGACAGACCTATGGGAAGGGAAATAGGCGATTACTGGATTGGTGAAAATGCAATTAAAGATCATGAATATTATGATCATAATCAATGCAGTTATTTTGGATCTAGATTGCCAAAGCATCAACTGAAACATGTTCATTTTCAAAATGTCCCAGATGAAGAGAATTCAGAAATTGAAAACAATGACCTAAATGTCCAGCAGAAAAAATCCGATACCCACACAAACAGAAAGTCTAAAACCGTTGAAGCTCTTTTACAACCGTCTAAGCTGATGGAGGATAAGAAAGCACGTGCAAAAAGTCAAGTTGCTGTTTACAGGCGTTTGTTTATGGACATTGAACGGGAACAAGTGAGAGAGAACATAAGAATGAAGGAACATCGTAAAAGAATGGAGGCTCTGAAAGTAGAAAAGGAAGTTGAACGACTTGAAATAGAACAACATCAAATTGACAAACTGAAGATGAGAAGGATGAGGAAAGAGGAAGAATCTTTCCTAAGAGCTCAAGAACAAAAGAAAATTGAAGCAAATTTAGCTAAAAAGCATAAGAAACTTCAAAAAGAAAGGGAAACAGAGAGATATATAGAAGCTTTGCAAGCAATTTTGAAGGAGAAGATACAGAGCAGAAATATTGTTCTTCCTCCCTTGTGCTCATGTGGACCCACAATCTGGGATGCGAATCCTGACACATGTGCAAACAACTGTGTTTTCTATAAGAACCCTAAAGCTTATGCTAAGGCACTATCAACAATAATTGCATCTTCAAATCTTGATTGAAAAGCTTAGGCAATATCAGTATTTAATGGTCAAAACTTCGTGTACCGGGCACAGATGATGTAAAACAAAAGACCTCTTTATTTTCTGTTCAGGGAAAAAATGGTTTTTGTTCTTTACAGTTTTCTTTTACATCATACGTGTCCAGTACACTAAGCAAATGCCTATTTAATGCACCTTTCCATTGTTTTGAACGGTTATTATTTTCAGTTACTGGAAGAGCAGGTAACTGAGGTGGAACACGAGGTCATCGTTACTAATAATAACCTTCTCTTCCACCTCAGTGGCCACAATAATGACCTGCTGGTTCGAAAATAGCCCGAGAAAACAGCCTACACTTTGTGACGCCACCACTGGTTTCCTGGTGCAATGACGTCTGGGAAATGAGCACAGACAATTCTGTACTCACTGAGATGCATCATTAGCCAGATCTGAGTAGTGCTTCTGATTAGCTGGAGTAAATTTCCCACATGGCATGACCAATCAGAAGCACTACCCAGATGTGGGAAGTGATATGTCATCAGTATGGAATTTCTCAGATGTCATTTCGTTGGGAAACCAGTGGTGGCGTTGCAAAATGTCAGCTGTTTTCTCAATGTTAGTTCGAAAACACTGAAAAGGTGCCATCAGATAATGCCCTCGCTCTTAGGACTTCTTAAAAATAATGATCAAGAGCATAGCACAAGGTCATTATTTTAAGAAGGGTGAAGAGCTAGGGTGTTGTCCTTTATTCAATTATGTACACATCTACCATGCTCATGATAGGGCTTGTCACATAGTCACCCAGCATTGCATATGAAATAAAGGATATTACATGGCAGTGCAGTGATACAAAATTTCTCGTTGAAAGTTGAAAAAATAATATTTATTTTCATGAGTGAGTGCAGTGAATGAGTGAAATACAGAAAGGCCAGATTTATCTGTGTGGCAATAGCAACATTGATCTTTTGATGTTCTCATATGAAAGCTCACCGGGCATTTCATTGATAGGTATATGATAAAGAAATATTTTAACCTGCAACCTGGTATTCTTTGTATAAGTCAGCAAGGCTAAGACTAGCAAAAAAAGAATGCATGTTTGCAGGGTATAAGGAAATAATTCCTTTCAGTTCCTGCTTTTATATTATTAGAGAGCTTTAGATTTGGAGACAAGGATGTCTAGTACCAGATTTTCTTAGTGCTAAGTAGTGCTCGCTTGGGAGTCAATGTCATTTTGGGACGAAAATGTGATAGCCATTGTCGTTCTACCACGAGTTTTAGTGAGAATGTTGTAATGGCAGGAACAAGTTATGAAATTTTAGAGGTTTAATCATTTTGCAACCGGGAAGAGGCTAAACCCTCTCCATTAAAATAACCACACTAATTTTTCAGGTAAAAAATAGTACTATGAAGCTTGCCAGGTTGAATATTTTTTGACAATACGCGAAAAAACAAAGTAAAATCTTGTACTCAAAGTAGTCCTTGTCCTCAAATCTAAAGCTCTCTATTATTGTGATCCACACTCCTGTGAAGTCTTATCAGTAATACTTAAGCATGATTAGATTAAGGAAACCCAGATGGACCATTAAACCCTGTCTCTTAGGATGGAAAGAATGTTATTGAAATAATTTTTGGGGGAACTAATTAGGCTGAGCCCTACATACAACATCGTTTGACAGATCTTGTGTTTTATTTATTCACTGCAAACACCTCTTTACAAAAAATAAGTCCACCATGTTACAGGAAACCCTCTTATAAGACAATAGTAATAAATAAGTGCGCATGTTTTCATGTTGTTGGTGGTTGACTTGAATCTTTCTTGTTAACATCTGAATCAGTTGAAGACACTGGAGCTTCATTGTTTCTTAAACTGGAACCACAGCGAAGGTTTTGCATAGCCTACAAAAAGGAAGAAAAAAAGAGACGAAGATGGATGTGATTAAGTGGACAAGTGGGATCTAGACTGAATTTTGAGACAAAATTATCACTTCATGATGATGGTGATGATGATGATGACTGCGGTACCATGGTCACAGAAAGGGTTGATTGATTGATTGATTGAAATGGAATGGAATGTGGAAATGATACTTTTTATGGAGGAGGAAAACTGAAGAAAACCCCTTGAGCAGGGCTCAGAATAGCAACAAACTGAACTCATGATATAATGAACAGTAGGACAGAAAATCAAACCTGCACCATAGTTAAGGTGGTGAGCAGGGATATTGCTAAACCCCAGCTACTGGCTCAATTCAGTGGCTAAGATAATGGAAGTCAGCAGAAGAAAATGTAAGAGAGTAGACAGTCCAGGGAGGAATTGGGCTAGCATAATGATTATTTGTGATGTAAAATAGTATTAACTGGATGAAAAGACCTATACCACAGGCAGACCACCCTCTGGTAGTTAGGAGTCTCCTTCTTTAGTTCTAACCCCAAGGTCAAAAAATCATCTTCCAAAATAACGCTTAAAAGAACTTAAACATGACTCATGACTCAGTAAACATTAATTTCTTCAAACTTTTATTGAAACAATTTATGTTAAAATCTGCATTTTGGACCAAATTATAGCCACCATAATGTTCCTCTGAATTTTCTGCTATGAAGAACAAAATATCGATGCTCAGATTTCAATCAACAATGGCCACACTAATAGAGGGTGGTCTCCCTGTGCCTACACAGTAACTAGTTGGCCACAACATGCTGGCTTCTCTCTCTTTCCCCTATTTTCCTGTTAGTACCTTTGCAAGATCTCTTACCTGATAGTAACCTGTATGATAACCACTCAAATACCAGGCCATTAACATGCTTGCTAGCGCATCATTGTCATGAGATATATCACTATTGTTGACTGGCACAGGTGGAGGAGGCATAGGTGCATATTGGAACTACAATAGGTCAGGATAATACAATAAGTGTTTAATTGCTTGGTTGTTTAAAATTAATGTACTACCAGTAAAGAGATCAAAATTTTATTTATGGCAAAATTCTCATGGCAAATTAATACAAGATTAATGGCTGCAGTGAAATTCATGTGTTTCAATCTTCACATCAACTGGCAACTTTGGGTAATTTTGACATTGGCTATTTCTGAATGCGAAAGGGTTAATAGAGGTGTTTGCTAAATACACAATTATTTAACTGATTACAGTAATATTATTATTCTGTTCAAACCTATACAAACTGCTTAATTTGCTAACACAAGCCCATGGCAAAATTATTAGTCAGCATCATACATTAGTTCATCCACTATCGATTCTACAAAACACTTTGTCTAAAGAAAATTCAATGCCCACACAATTTTAAAAACTTAAAGCTAAATAATATGTTGTTTAGGAATGTTATGCTTACTGTATTTGAGGAGGGTGAAAGCCCTGATGGATTTAAAGTTGGCCAGTGATGAGGCAGGAGGTTTGGAGGCAGAGGTGGTGGAGGAGCAGGAGGGAAGAAGTTTGTCTGAAGGAGCAAAATTATACAATGAATGGTTAGTAACCAGACTTAATAATATAAATGTGAATAATAATTCCTTTATTTACCCTCCGCAGTATTTATAGTAATTATGCTAGTGGGGCTGAGCAAATACTGAAACAAATAGTTCAAATCAAACATAACAGGGATAACTGGCCAGAGGCAAACCAGCTGGTTCTTTACAAGTGCGGTCGAGGATTTGAACTCGGGACTACCGTGAACAAATCCAGCTAGGGGTTAGGGCAGGACTAAAACTCAGGGCCTCTGAATTGCAGGTCCAGCACTCTAACCACTCAGCCACACTGACCCCTCCTTGATACTAGATGACTGTGTTGTACAGAGCAACCTGGCTGAGGAGCAGAGTCTGCTCTTGATTGCTTAGTATTGCAAACACTTGAGGTAATTAATAGGTAGCAAAGGTATTAGCAGAATACAGCTCCACCTCTTTCTATACCCAGTCATATATCAGTCCGCCCTCTCAAAATAGTGGGGAAGGACAGGGGGGTGGGAGCCGGGGACAACAGCAGCAGGAGGGCTATGGGAAGTTGGAGAGGAAAGGGAGGAGGTGGGAGTCTAAAAGGATGGGAAGCGGGAGAATTAAGGGAAATAATTTTTACTATGCAACAATGCTAAATACAATGTGTTTCGCCATCAAAAAAGGGGTTTTAATGGAAGAAGCCAAAGATAAAAAGGGAAGAAGCCAGGGATGCAAGGTACATTAGGCAGGAGGTTTGGACTCCCCACCCCTGCCTTCCCAAAAAATAATCCTTCAATCAACCAACTTGTTACCTAAACAGTCAATCTGACTAGACTTGTTAGGTTAAAATTCACTTACTGAGATACTATGAGCATAATATTAAATTGGCTGATCAGTTATGATAAGCTTTACAAAGTGTTTACATCACTTACAGAAGGGTTATAGTTTGAAGACAATGGATAACTAGAAAATGGAGATCCTGACATGGGGTATCTTTGTTCAGAGGTGTAAGGGTGATGATGATGACGATGATGATTCCTCAGATGATGAGATGGCTGTGACGGCTTCAGTGTTGACACATCAACATCTTGTCTGGAAAAGTATGACATAAAGCAATAAATAAAAATAGATAATCTTTATATACTTACCCTTTGCATTAATTATCATAAAAAAAATTATAAATAGGGCCGAGTAAATAACCGAAACAAATGATTCAAAATTTTAAAAAATCCTTACTGATAAGAGGCAAACTAGGCTGCGAATAGAGCTACCTCTCCTTGCTTCTCCGCGCTAGGGACATGTAGGAGAGACATTTGTGCCTCAACGACAGAAGTTCCATACTAACGACATAAATCAATGTACTACATCAGCCAATCAGAGCTCCTGACCAGATTTTACATCAGTAGGGAATTTCTATCATAAAGGGGCAGACATCTCCTGTGAAATGTTCCTAGTGGTGAGGTGCAAGGAGAGACAGCTATATTCGCAGACTAGAGGCAAACTAGTTAGAATGGCTATTGTGACCTAGGAGTTGAACTCAGGACTACTGATACCAAGAAACAAATCTAGCTATTGGTCAGAAGGGGATTTGAACTCAGGGCCTAGCCTTGGATTGTAAGTCTAGTGCTCTGACCTCCCCCAGCAACACTGATTCTTCATCCAGGAGCCAGTGCTTTTAACATTAACAATTACCCAGTAAAAAATAGGCACCTACTAGTGCAGCTGAAGCTCTCCTTGACCGGCTCTAGTTATGACTACATTTTATGAATTAAAACCCCCTTTGATCTGTGACTTAAACTTTGTAATGAAAGCTCTCATACTGGACTGCGACCACTTTTGGGATTACCCAACTGGACTTTTCCTTTGTTTTTAGGCTCTTGTAAGCGACCACTAAGTGACCACTCATAGTCTTATTCACATAAATCAACACTCTAATAAAACTGCACACTGCGCTAATGGTCTAAAAAATTGGATGTAAAGTTTAGCTGTGTCTATATCAGATATAAAGACACTCATTAAAAACTAATTTATTTTGTTTTTTCTTTATGAATTATTAACGAATTTCTGAAGCTCTTGAAAGCAACCACCCTCTATCGTATTACCATGCGGTCACTTACGAGAGCTCATTCTCATAAGCAACCAGCTCTATGACCACTTGTCCATGGCCATCGCTTGCGAGAGCTTCAACTATTACAATCTGTTAGATTTAATAACAACATTAAAGCTTTACCGTTGTCTGGATCTGAGGAAAGTAACCTTGCAGGTGTATGGTGTAGAGAAAGAGTTGATTACAGCTTCATGAAGGTGCTGGCTGGGTTGTTCTGGAGCAAGACACAAGTCACTAATCTGCCATCTTATAGGTGACTGGCTGCCTGCTGTCCAATCCATTTCACTATCTGCATTCTGAAAGAATAACATATCATTAACTTTATTAATTAACACCTTTGTCCAAGACCTTTACCAGGAAACTGCTAGAATGATATCTTTTCCAGGCAACAGCCAGCTGGATAAAATATAATGCTGGATGTGACTGCCATCAACAGACAACAAACTAGAGAGTTTTGCTGGGCACTGAATGTTAGAAATAAGGCTGTTTTGTACGATGTCCCATATTTGTATCATGAGACTAGAACCAGGCTTTTGTTGTTGTTGTTGCTGTTTTTTTTCTTTTATGACAGATTTCCCCTTTGATATCCAGCCTACCCATGAACTAATACATTTTCATTTGTAAATCAGAATGTGACAAGGTGAAATGATAGGGAAATGCTAGTTACACCCAGTTTTTGCACTGTTTACTGGTGTGAACAAGGTATCTACAAATATAAAGCAAGAGAATGGACAGCCTTATGAACTTTTTCATGGGGGAAGGTTACATTTTTCAAAAAAGTATTAGGTTTTACCGTAGTTAAAAGTCTTGTAATGAATGGGTCTCAGCTTATAGCCAGGTGTTTTCGATTTGTTTTTCATTCTTGGTTATGCTGATTCTAGTGACTACACATTCAAAGTTTAGGGTCTCAGTTTATGGCTGAATAAAAAAATACAGTAATAAGCCTGTTCACAAGATACCCAATAATTTTAACACTGTCTTGTCTTCTTCTTGTCAGAAGAAACTGGACAAATTTTAGAACAAGTTGTCATGGAGGTAACACTTAGCTTTGGGCCAGTAACCTCGACACTAACGATTAACAGTCTAACCGCTGGATAATGGGTCATAATGACACATTATGTCATAAAAAGTTACTCGACTTTTCTTCCAAATGCAATGTTACATAAAAATTAATAATTATTATTACCTGTTGTCCTGGGGATGTCGGCCAGACAGGTTGACTACTAGAGGGTTTTGAAGACTTTCTGTTCTTCTTAGATATGGGTAGTAGTAAATCATCTAAGTACTGTTCTTCTGTGTTACCATACCCACAAAATTTTACCACACAAGTTTTGGAATTGGCATCAATTGAAATTATTACAGCATCATAGATTAGTTCATCCTCTGAGAAAACAGCTCGGCAACTATCACCAACATGCCACTGAAAATATAATTGATTTAGTGAATAAGGAATTTGTTAGTTGCTGATAAAAGCATTTTTATACTTGTGAGGCTCTCTACAAGGGGTCAGCGGCATATATCCCTACCTTAAATTTTGTTTTATGCATTGAGGAGGAGGAGGCTCTATCCCTGTCAGCATTTTACTACTGGTATTGAACGCTGTATTTGGGATTGTCCTCATCACCATCAGAGTTTCAATCCACTTAATTATGTTGTTTGTCAGCATTTCATCACCCTTTAATTTATAAGTCTGTTTCAGGGCCATGTTGCTTGTCAGAATTTTACTTTAACAAGGCCTCACTTGTGACTATGCTAACTACTTTGTATTCACTCAACCACTACTCAGGGTTCTCTTACTAGAAAATTTAAAACAGAGACAAAAAAAAATAAGTAGGTGACAAATTATCTCCCCCTCCCCTTCCTCTTTTTCCACCAGCCACACAGGTTAACAATATATTATAAGAAAAGTGTTGTCTGATGAAGAAAATCTCAAAAGAGACTGGGTGTTATTATGCCAGACAAATTGCATCTTAGCCCACATATCATCTGAAAGTACTGGTAACAAAATAAAAACAAGAAAGGAGGGATTCTACTTCACAACAATACTAATTGAAATTTGAATGGTCGCACGCATTTCCTCTTCAGGACGTGTTGGCATGCAAGTACAAGTAATAGATTATTTTAACGTTCAAGAAGTACGAGTAGCATTAAAAATTATTCTTTGTTTCCTTTCCCTGGCTGAGAGTAATAATCTGTTGAGCTGGACATTTGAATTTTTAAATATTTTAAAATGAAACAGTACTGTCTTTTGCTGCTAAGAAACAAAAGTGTTACCTGTTCTGCAGCCTTCTTTTTATTGTCCTTCTTTTTTGAAGCTTGGTTTTTCCTTTTAAAAATAATAATTCATCAATCAACATAAATCTCAACAGTGTTTCACCTTCAAGACAACCAAAAAAGTTTTGAAAACAAGCGTTTTTACAAAATAAATGGAGGGTATTATAACAGCTAACACACACTTTTGGTTTGCTTCATACCTGTGTTTTCCATTGCCCTTACTCTTTGAACCACCATTCTTTCCTCCTTTCTGTTCATTTTCACGGCAAAACAAACAAAAATAATGAATACCATTGTAACTTTTAAAATTTACTTCTGAATAACTCTTCTTTTAAAGAATTACTTTAGAATTAGTACGACTCAAGATAATATTATAAGAATAACTTGAAAAATGAACATGTAGAAATCTCAAAACTTGACAGCATTTACTGACAATGACATCATCAAGTTAGTATGGAAACTTAGGTCAGAAAAAATTGCTTTTTCTGAAACTTCAATCTGCACCTGACAAAAATGGTAAACCGTAAAATTCCGAAAATAAGCCCCTCCAAATATGAGCCCCCCAAACCGGTAACGCAAAAAGACCCCCCGTTAAATCGCCCCTCCAGATATAAGCTCTCCGGGGGCTTGTACTTGGACATATTGCCCTCAAATACAAAGAAAACAAAGCAAAAATGGCAAATTTACTTTCAACTATAAGCCTAGCCCAATCGATTTTGAAACGCAAATATCCCTCCGTAGATAAGCCCCTCAAAAAGGGCCTTTGAAAGATATAAGCCCCGGGGCTTATTTTCGGAATTTTCCGGTAGTTCAACTGATTTCCCATGTTTTTATTTTTGTTTTTTTATCAATGACATTTTGTGTTTAGAATGGAAACTGGCTGCAGTAAAGCCAAAGCTACCGTAAGGAAGATCCCAACGGGAAGCAGTAACACTCCAAGTGAACATTTTAGATTAATTTTACAAAATTAATAAAAGCGACTAAGTCGTCTTTAACTACCATACCTTTATAGCACTTATTGCTCGATCGTAAGCTTCTATTAAGGCAGTGTCATCCCAGATATCTGACTCATTACCATCCTTAAAGAATTAATAATTTCAGACGTGTTAGTCAATAATATTACAATTATTGTGCACATTAGTGAAACATAGTGACCTATAGCATACCAGTGCAAACATGAGGAATCCAAACCCAGGGACTTTGGGTTATTCTTTTTTTTTTTTTTTGAGGGACAGGGGATGGGGAATTTCAACCCTGGCCTTAATTTCTTGTGATCTGTCTTCCTGCCGGCAAGAGGCATGATAAAAAATTAATTATTGTGTACGCCAACATGGCGAGTCTGGAAAGAATTATACAAGCTTTCCTCTGTCTGCAGACTCAGCTCCAAGAGTATTTAGAAAGCTACATCGGTAGTTAAAAGATAATATAGTTTCTGTTCAAATTTTCAATTTCAAAACTTCAAATGCACAGGGGGGTTTTGATCTCTGGGAGAGGAAGTTGAAGCTTCAGTTTGGGGTGATAAATTCATGCTTCCAAAGCAAAACTCAGTGACAGCTGCCATATTGGTCCATACTGGTGACCCTGAGAGGGACAACAAAATGGCAACTCTATACAAAACTCTATAAATTTGGGTAAAACATTTCTCCAATTACTTTGCATATAAAAAAACACATAGGCTTAAACCCTGTCTAGGCTGCTGTTTCCATATTCATCTTCATTTTCATTCGGGATTTATTTATTGAAGGATTTCGATTTTTTTTTAATTTTTGATGACTTGACGGAGAAAACCTGAGCAATAGAATGTTAGCATAAGTTTACATCTTTTCCTTGACTTGATATAAAATAAAACTCGACGATGGCAGTTTTTTATGGTTAAATAGGGGTCACCAGCAAGACAAAGCAATTCAGTGCTACATGACAGGTAACTCTTCAAAGCAAGGTAAGAGATAAATAACATTAATAACCGCTAAAACTCAAGAACCACCAGGGGATGAAAAGAACAGACGGCGGACTATAGATAAATGAAAACGTCTTGACAAGAGCACAGTGTGCCCAAAGTTTAAACCCTCAAAATAAATTTGATAAACGAATATAAAGAAGCAACACAAAATACAAGCATAACTGTTGAAATATTTCTAAAATCTGTTATCTCATACCTCGCCAGCCTTGAAAACAACTTCTCCACATTTCGCCGCCATATTGTTTTGGGTGCACTGGTACCAGGCTTCTCGCAACTTCAGTAATCGTGAAAACTATAAAAGAAACTGGCACTACCTTGTTGTATTTCCTGTCTCTTGGCCGACTTCCGCTTTGTTATTTGATTGAAGACCTACCGTAAAATTCCGAAAATATGAAAGCCCCAGGGCTTATATTTTTCAAAGGCCCTTTTTAAGGTGCTTATATTTGGAGGGGCTTATACATGAACGGCCTTATTTTCGGAATTTTACGGTATTTTGTTTTATAGCTTTTTCATAAATTATGCGCGTGAATATGATGAAATTTGAAAGAAACATATGACCTGCATTTGGAAACAAAGCAAGTCCTGGTCATGAGGATGGAGTGTCGACTGTGTCCAAAAGTTTTTTGCATGATCAAAAAAAACTGAAGGGAAAAGCAGACCTTTGTTAGCAAGCTATTTATGGTTGCTTCCCTGCTCTGTGGAAGTCAGAACAAAACTGTTGGTGCCCAGGGGGAGGCTGACTCACTACATGTATATGGGGCCGGCTCCGCCCAAATGGGGTGCCTTTTCAAGTGTCAGGTGTATAAAAGGGTAAGGATTACACTTAGGAAATCTGTCTTTGTAGTCTGTAAAAGGACCTAAAAGATCCCCTTCCCTGGGTTACCGAGTCATTCAGACAGGATATTGGCCAGATTTCAAATTGGAAAGTGATTTTTATTATGTAGCCTGAAATTCATTAGATTGCTTCGAGTCGTTTTCTCCTCTCATTAACTAAGGACAACTAAGAACTAACAACTAAGTTACTGAGGGAGTAATAACGACTTGAAGTAATCGGATGAAATTCAGGCTATTTATTATGAAAATTATGACAGATTTCCGTAAAACGGTGGAAACTGGTGTGGATCCGCGCCTGGCCTGCGGACATCTCCTATTTTCTTTGTTGGACCCTTTTAAACATGCAACAAAGGAAATAGCAGACATCTGTATGCAAGCTATAAAAAAGTAAAGATAACTTCCTAGTTTTCAGTAATTTATTTATATTTAAAAGATGTGTATGGTGCACTTTCTGCAGTTAAAAGGGCTGCAGAGTTCTAAACTAAGTATGTGAAAGGGGCACATAATGGTCAAACCGCAAATTTTTTGCGATAAGTGTTATGCAGCATACCTCCCCCCAACTCCCTCGTCCTCCATGGTGGACCTGGACTGAAAAACAGGGAGTAACTGCGTATTTCTCAGAGAGATTCAAATGAACTCCTGACTTAAGTTCACAGAAAAAGAGAATAATGTGTAGTTCCAGAAAATATCCAGACCCCCACCACGGAGGGAATTTCACTTAGGACCCCCCCACCTCCCTGGATTTTCCATTTTTGCAGGGAACTAATGACCTCCCACCCCCTCGGAATTTCCAGAAGTGTGACAAAGACCCCCCAACCCCTCTGGAAAAGTTCATTTTCACGAAGAAAGACTATTAAAGTAGAAGAATGAGGGCATTTATGGTTAGTACGCAACGGTTTCAATCAGAAGCTTGTATGCTTCTGTTTCCATTTATTTGAGTGATCTCGCAACATTAAAACACACTACACCACCACAAAGTAACCTGATCCGCAATTTTTGCTCATCTCTTATTTTAAATGAAACAGAGAAAGTTAATAAGTCCGTTATATTTGTGAATTTACCTTAATCAGGGCAAGCTTACGATTCATTATTCGTCTTCATGGGCGTAAATGTTGGTAGATTCATGAATTAACCTTTAAATTTAACGCCATTTCGTGCGGGAATGCAGAACAAGTCAAACTTACGACCACAAAATTAATGCAAAACAAAGAGAATAATAAAAACTCTGAACTCTGAAATAATAACAATGAATACCCCCTGCATCTTGAAGGGAAACCAAGTTCAATTTACTGTTTTTCGATCGACTGATGTGACATGATGCGCGATGGCCGTATAAATGTTTGGTGAAATCGACACCATTTCAGCGAGGATTCAATCATGAACATGCCACACCTTCAACTACAAAATTAAGGGAAAATGAAAAGGAGAATAAAAACTCTACATTTTAAAATGGTTACAATGTATAGCTTGTCCTTCGTGAGGCAAAATTCCCATTCTACTGATCGATCGACTGACGCAACGTGATGTGTTGCACGCGTTGATGTTTTGAGGGAGACTGGTAACGAGTAATGGCGGCCGAATACACGAGCATGCGATAAAACGAGTTGTAGTCGATCTAATTCCTTTGAAATTACATCCAAAACGCTTTTGGAAGAAAGGAAACCTGGTTAAGATCAAAAGGAACAATCTTAAGTGATGTGTTTCAAGTTATTTATGACCTAAAAATGATCTACCATGTCGGTAAGAAGCAATGTTCGAACTCAGGTCGAAAACGAAATGATATTGACCCCCTGGAAAGTGATTTTATGGTCCAACCCCCCTCCCTTCTGGAATTTCCTGGGCCTCTGACCCCCCCACCCCCCTGGAATTTCCAATTCCTTCCGTGGTGGGGGTCTGGATATTTTCTGGAACTACACAATAATGAAAAAAGTATTTTTGTGGTTCCCCTACAGTAACAGATGATAACCCTCAAGTAAGTGCACAGACCTCAATGCAGTAGAGTAATATGCACTTGTTTTACACCACCACTTCTGAAAAATGAGATAAATGGGAGAAAAGGTAGGATCTCAGCTGTTTTAGAGGACTTTTGTATAAACCAGGCCCTAGTTGTTCAAAAGTTGGATAGCGCTATCCACCAGATAAATCGCCATCTAGAGAGAACCAGTTGCGCTATCAGTTGGATAGTGATTTATCCCGTGGATAGCACTTTCCACCCCTGGGGCCTGGTCAATAATTAGTCTGAAATGTCATATGTCTCCACCCCTAACTCTCCCCTGCACCCCCCCCCCCCACGGGTTAGGGGGTGGAGACGTATGACATTTCAAACTAGACAATAAGTAATATTTTTGTGAGACATGATAGATAAAATAATATTCAGTTATGAGTAGAAATACTGTACTAAAATTCCTAAACACCCCAGAAGTTACCCCATGCACCCCTTCCTCCTCCTTCCCCACCAGGGAAATGTCTGTCCTTATAATCTAGGTTATCATGCTGTCCAGTATTAGCCCATGTTCTGATGACTCCAAACAAATCCATCTAAATTTGACTCAGTTCATAACCTTATGAACCAAGTCAAATTTAGAAGGATTTTTATGGAGTCATCAGAGCAAAACAGGACTAGGAGACAGTTTGCCCCACAATGTTAGTTAGCATGCCTTAGATGTTGTTCTTTCAAAATATCCCAACAAATCCCATAATTTCAAAAATGTAGTTTTTATGACATCATCACTTTAGAACTCTATTGACTTTTAAATTAATCTAGATATAATTTTGATTTGATAAGATGCAGTATACCTATCTACAGTATATAACTATCGCCAGAGTTTATTGAGCAATGTGTAAATATAAATAGTTTTCATGGCAAATTTATGTGGTTAATCTATCTTTGAGCAAAGGTTTATACCGTCCACCCTCCATGCACGATCACCTCTTGTAAGTGACTACCTCCCATAAGCAACCACTTACCAAAAAGACCAAAATTTTCCCAGTGAAGCCCTACACTCCTGGGGGGGGGGGGGTGTACTTTGTTATAAGAGGCTAATGGGGGTGTGCCGCTGGATGGGGTCGCATTTTCAAGACGGGATTGACTATAATGGGCTTGCATTCTCAATAGACTTACTAGCATTCTCAATAGACTTACTAGAATGGGGTGTTCTTCATTCAATACTAGCATTCTCAATAGACTTACTAGAATGGGGTGTTCTTCATTCCATCTAAAAAATGGGTCAATTCATAAAAAAGAAAGTGACTAAGTTGGGATTGCAAAAATTACATATTTGCCCAAAAGTGACTAAGATAGGGTCCATAATTGGCCACAGAATAGACTATAATGAGGTAGGGGCTCTGAGAGGCCAGCAGCACAAAACCGGCAACAATTAACCCAAGTACGCCCCCCCTTGCTCTCTGACAGAGTCTTTGGAGTCTATATTTCACTACAATGAGTACAGTCCAAATATTTCTATCTAACGCCTTTTAACTTTCAACTCTTAGAGAATACTGTGAACGAGGTTATATTCATTTGTTTGACTAGCTGAGTTCCTTAACCATTGCTAAGACGATAAGTCGGAGTGTCTCTGTCAACTCTTCAACACTGTACGGTGAATCCACTCGTGGAACATGAACAAAAGCACAAGTTCCTTTCCCTAGATGTAGTGACTTGTAGTATATATAATCACATAAAAACCTGTGATACAACAAAAAATGCAAAGTTTACCACTAAACATCAAGTAACCAATATTTCTAAGATGTCTAATAAATTAGAGGTTTGAAAGCAAAATGAGGTTATAGAGCTACAGCGAGCTGTAACAGCACCTGGAAGCCACTGGAGTCTTCATTTTGCTCTTGAACAAACAAGGAAATATTACTTTGTTTTCATAGATTTCACGGGTTCAAAGGATTGAGCTCCTTTCAATTTGTCTTAAAGCACAGCCTTGGGTTAACCCATTAAAGTCATGCAATGAAACGCTAAAGCTTCAAATGAATGAGTAGGAAAATGCGAGTCGATGGCAGGTAGGAAAAGCTGGGCAATGAAGTTCACAGAGGAGGCCCCATGCCTAGCACATGACTTACAGTCAAACCGGGAAAACCGGGAACACCAGATCAGGTGTTCACGATCACCGATCGGGCATGAGAAACTAAACCACAAGGAGGAACATTAATAAGTTTGTCATTTTGTGGCAAGTGCTCATGTCCTAACCTTTTTTGTGATTGGTCATAACACAATATAAACATTCCTGAAATATTTCAAGACAGTGTTCACAGTTTTGCCCGTTTGACTGTAACAAAATTCAAAGAAGGGATTTATGAAATGATTTATGAACCTTCAAAATGTTTGGAATATATAATATCAAGAATATCAATAAAAGAACTTAAATAGTTAGAATATCCACCTTCCGGCATCATCTGAGAGTCCAACAAGACAAGGGCTTTTGGCAGTCATCACTTCAGAACAAATCTTATCCAGGTTTAAAGAAGTAGACAAGCACTCAGGTCCACCTAAAAACAAACAAATAAAACCAGGAATGACCTATCGGTCACTATGTATAAAACCAGGAGCCCTTAACCTGAAGTGTGAAATGTAATAGTATTTTCTCAGACAAGTTTATTTTTAGCCTCACTTTGAAGTAATTTTTCAGCAAAAATGGAAGCACCACTTTGTATGTGTGTGCTTATCCATAGTCTGATGTATTGAAAAAAGAATTTCAGCAAAAGTTATCAAAACATCAGAAATTCTTTATTCTGACTAGAATTCAGTTTTTGATTTCGTGTAAAAATACACTTGTCCATGAAACAATGTTGCATGGCTGTGGGCACAAAGGAGTTACTCGCTCTGGGTCAACATAGGCTCCTGATTAAACACAATTTCATTTTGAGAAGTTTCTCTTAAACTTAAAACCATCACTCTTAACATCGCTTACCTCTCTTCCAAAACAAAAATATCCACAGTACACCCACTCTTACCACGGCATACCCACTGTTGCCACTATCTATCCATTGCATGATCTTAACACTCTACAATGAGCCATTACTGATACACCTCAAATCACCTTCAACACAGCAGCTGTGGTGACATTTCTGACCACCTTCATCAGGTCTGTTGTATCCATCATTGTGGGCACACATCTCTAACTGCACACAGTCTGCAAGACCATGTACACCAACATGTACACACAACTAGAAAAGAAAATACATTGCTAACAAAGAGGATAAATCACATCAGCCATGGAACAGAAGTGCTTGGAGTTGCAAGAAACGGTTATTAACTTTTTCTTTTAAGGAGCATTACAAGAATTGGCCATGATATTAGGTGGACTAAAATACCACAGGGCTGTGCTTAAAGAAAGTAGCAGTATACACTGTGCACCAAAGGAATCTTCCTGGTCACCCAAAGGGAAATATAGTTCACTGGGTGTCACAGGGCTTTGCTAGATCACAAACTTGCTTGTGGAAGCACAGTAGTGAGATAGGGAGGTGTACGAATGGAAACAAGTGACCAAATTTGGGGCTGGGCAAAACAGCACTAGTTTAGCATCCTACAAAGCTTACTGGGTGCTTTGTTCATAGAATTATGGCTGGGAGTCAGATCCGTGTGCAAAAAGAAGCCGGGACGCTATTAAATTCAGCACTATGTAATCAGTAGTTTTATCCTTTACATTCACTGATACCTCAACCTGGGGATTGACATCTAAATGTCCTTCATGTGTGTAGCAAAGGAATTATAGAAGACATTACCACACAGGCAATGAAACCCATCTAAAGCACCCTTCCTATGCAAAGAGTAAAATTTATCACCTTCGGTTTGATTTCATTCCACAATGCAGGAACTTCCTTATCTACTGCTGCGTACTCCACAGGAATTTCCCTTACTTCTAAATTCACTTTCTGGGAGAGGTCAGTCCCTGGAAGTTCCTATAAATAAAATAAACTTATTTCACTTATTTCATAAGTTACACAATATTATTATTTATGGCCAGATCCCAATATCTGCCTTTGTATGGCTAAAGCAAGTTGGATGGGAGATAGGGATGGGGGAGGGAGGGGGAAAGGGTAGGGGGAGAGGGTAAGAGAACTAACTACAATGCTCGTCACAAATCGTTGAAACAGAGGGGGCACCTTATATCAGAGAATTTTTTAATTTTAAGGATGTACAGTACAACTTACGTGGGCTTAGCACAAGGCTAGATCTACCCCCCTTTAATCTGGAGTTTATGCATCGATCCTTTACATTTTTAGCCAGCAAACTTTTGAATGCGTTACCTCCAAAAGTCAGAGAATCACAAGACATTGCGTCATTTATTTAAGCGATCTCTTAAAGCTCACATGGCTTAGGGTGTAGTGCTTGTAAATAGTTTTAGTTTTAGATTCTGCTTTTAGCCATTTTGTAGATCTATTTATAGCTAGTATTTTTACAGTAGTAATGTATAGGTTTCTAGCATAATTTTTTTTTTTTAATTTTTAATTTTCTAATTTGTATACACGTACGCGTTTTAACGAGAACTTTAGTGCTCCTGGGTGTTACGTGTCTAAATAAAGGATTTGATTTAAAAGGATTTTGATTTGAGACACCGCTTCTCTTGAATTTTCTAGAAAATTCTTGAGATTTACTCCTCACAATTTTGTTCTCACTGTAATGTGCCCTCACCCTCCCCACTGTTGAGCCACACCTATTTTGAAGCAATGAGACCACTGTAATACTCAAATCAACATTGGGAAAGGGGAAACGCACACAAGTGTGCCAAGATTTTTGACGAGGATTGTAGGTACACAACTGGTGCTGTAAGTTTTGAGCTAATCTTTGCATCTGGTTTCTGTCCCTTAACTCCAGATCTTTCCTTAGCAGTTTGTTCATCCCTGAATTTTAGCATACCTGAACAGCAAGCCAACTGGTGTTTACCTCATGTGTACCAAAGGGACCAAATCCTAAGCAATACCAAAAGACTGATCAGCAAAAATTATTAATGATAGACAAACTCATTGTGATGAGTCAAAGGAAGCACCTACTCTCTTTGCGAGTTAGTTTCAACATGGTGCTTCTGCAAGCAAAAACATTCGTGCACCTGAAGAAAACGCCTGCACTGCAGGCTAGGTTTGATTTTTAAATCTGACCGTTGAGCACGAAAAGTTTCCAGGCCTTTCAAGAAACGGGCCCCTAATTCTTGGCGAGGCTTTTTGTATATTTATCTTCTTTCATTTCCCAGATTCTGGACTTTCTGTATTGAATGGTTTGCATCTTTATTTTTGATGTCGTGACGGTGAAAACAGAGAATTGGGGAGTAGCAGCCACCCCCACCCCCCTGCCAACAAACTCGGCCCTCCCTACACTGTGGCAGCTGCAGATCAAGGAGAAGACATGATCATTGCAACCAAAATTCGGTTGAAAATGAACTGCACATATTATTTCACTGTGATCAATACGGTCATTTGAGAAAGACTCAACGACCGAAATACATTATTTACAAATTACAATATCCATGATAAAGTCTGTTTTCTTTTTAACAATACTGATTCACATATCGGCAGGTTGGCAGCTAATTTCATCTTTCAAGCATTTGAAAGACGAAAGAAACATAGTTAATTCTACTGTTCCATCATATCTGCATTTCCTTACACTTAGCTGTTTATTATTGTTATTTTAATCGGTAACACCTGTACAAAATGGTAATACTGAATAAACTTGTTGTTGTTATTGTTGTTGTTGTTGTTGACATGAGATGAGGAAATTTAACTAACCAAACCAGGAACCCAAACTCAGTCCACATAATAAAATGATGCGTTGTTTAAGATATAAGAGGAAATATACACTGTAGCATCCTAGGCAAGTATTGTAACCCTCTAACAGACAGTCTCCATGGTTCCTCCTTTATAGTGCATATATACTGACAAGAAAATTACGATTGCTTTAAATGTACTTATACCGCTAAAGTTATCTGAGGCAACACTTGAAGCTAAATTCTTCACAAAAGAACAATATAACAAAGATTTCTCACCCGTGACAAGAACAGTAGGTTTATTCTCTGAAGCCATGATTGCAAGCTTTCATCATCCTCTCAACTGACAGGGCAGATAGGGTACTGGGCACGAAAACTGAAGCTCTTGGGTTTAGTCCTCTCGCGGTCCTTTTCCAACATGGCGGGTCGTGGCAGAGGAAGAGGGAAAGGACGAGGATTATCGTTTGATGTGGGAATGATTGGTTTTGGGCGCGGAGAAGCGCTACCCACCGCAATACTTCAACCTCCTCCACTTTTTCCAGTAAGTGAATTTCTCCTTGCTTAAAATGTGTGAATATAAGGTATTGCTGCTAGGCATTTTCTGCAGGGACGACTTTAATTATTAAAGAACGGGTCATATCACAATAGATCACATAGATGCTTTTGTTGTTTATTGATATTGAAGTAGGTCGCATTGCATTCTATAGATTTCTCCAAAATTTATTCTCTTATTTTACCATACCAGCCACTTGATGTAAAGCCATTGCCACTCAGGCAGACAGATGCTGATGAATACATGCTGGCACTGAAGCAGGAGTTGAGAGGATGCATGCGAGAGCTTCCCTACTTCATCAAGACCTCAGTCAAAACAAAGGGTGAGAAAAATTCAATATTTTCAATCAATATGCGGCAAGATGAAGTGAACCTGCGTTCTGATTGGCTACCCAAGCAGGCACACTTGGAATACCAAGTTGGTCTCAGAAGAAAAAATTCTCTTTCTGGCCGTATAATAAATCCTTTATTGAGTAAGCTTAATCGGTCAAGATGGTTTGATATTGGCCTTGTTCTGTTTTTGCATTTTTATTGACCTCTCCGAGTAGAAACGCAAAAAAGAAATAGGCCACTTGCACTAAGAGGTCACGTGACCAATGCTTCCTTTAAACAATGAGTTGGAATCTTGCTGATGCCAAAAATTGACAGAGCACTTAAAAATTAGCTTACACCCAAAGTTTGAGAGGAAATGCATGTAAGGGAGATAGTTTATGGCACTTTGCATTGATTTTTCAACAAAGTAGTGTGATTTGTATTGGCCGCCATGTTGGAGGGCATACTCTTGCCTTCCAATATGGCGGCCAAAACTACTTTTTGCTTATATCTTGTTAAACGTTTGATAGTTACGCTCAGATTTGCTGTAAACGTTACCACACATTTTTTCAACATCCTTCTTGAAGTTTAAGTGGAAAGCTTGTGTTCAGAAAGAAGTAATTCATAATTTTAAAAATAACATTTTGGTCACTTGACCAGTTGCAAACTTACTCATTTTAAGAAAATGGTGCGGGTTTGAAAAACTAAATCACTGTTATTTTGTTTAAGATATGACCCACTAATCGTTTTTCGAAGGCAAAATCATATAACTTTCATTTTCATGAAAACTATGTCACATGACCTCTTAGTGCAATGGCCTATTGACCAATATCCCTCCCACTTTTCTTTCTAGCAGTCTTTGCTTGCCTTTTAGATGCCTTACCCAAGTTATTGGCTGCATTGCTTGTGCAGGCCGGGGTGCCACAACAAGTGAAGCCTGAGTTTCAATGCAATGACCACTGACTAATGCATCAGTCAATTCCAGCTGTGCCCATATATTATTATTATTATTATTATTATTATTATTATAGCAGGGTTCTCCAGATTTCAAGTGACAGGGATGATCAAAGGATTTTTTTGGGGGGGTGGTAGAAATTTTCAGTTCCAGGATTTTTGGGGGGTTAGAAATTTGGCAAGTACTTTGTGGGTGGTTCGATTTAAGTAGGGACTTTTTTGGGGTATTCAAAACAATCTGAAGATTTGTAGTATTGCCCACCTTTCACGGCCTGTTTTAATATTTTTTGTTTCATATTGCATCTGTTTCATGAAACTAGTTAATAAGGCTTGGAAATTCAGCATGGGAATTTTGGGGGGTTAATTTTTGGTCTAGGGACTTTTTAGGTTTTGTTGGGATTTTTTTAGGCTTTGTTTTTTTGCCTATCCTCCCCGCAGACGTCTCATGGGGTTCGTTTGTTACGCATTCATTTCTCCCCCACAGAGAGAAATGAATGCGTGACGAACGAACCCCAAAGAACATCTGCGGGGAGGCTATTTTTTGCCCCCTTTGATCATCCGTGTCACTTGAAATCCAGAGTACTCCACTGGGCCTTAACCCCTTGGTTCCACAGTTTTGTATTCACCTCGCAAAGAGACCTTCATATTATCTGTAGTACTTAATTCTTTACCAACATTTTTACATGCTAGATATTGAGAGGTTCTCTGATAGATACAGAGAGAAGCAGACAGACGAAGGCTTAGATTGGCAGCCAGGTAACATCTCAGTTTTATTAATTTATTATATTATTTATCTGACCTTAAAAGATGTTCCTCAACAGAACATGTTTTAAAGACTAATCTATCTCTCAGAAAAAAAAATCTCTCATCCTTAACACACCTAATCAGAAATTTTCTTGCATTTACAAACAAAATGCAAATGAACAACATAAACTCCCTGATAATGTTATCTTGCAGACTGGAAGTTATTTCCCAGTGAGCTTAAGATTAAAGTGAGAAAACACCGCCTTAACAAGAGCGCAAGTAAGTACTTAGAAAGAACGCACCGTATTTACAGGACTGATTTTAAAAGTGCTATGATTTTTCTTTGCTTAACAAGTTCATCGTAAAATTTGTGATTCATGCAGGCAAAGATTTCTATTGATGTTCTTTTAGGACCAAGGATTCCAAGGCTGGAAGGGAAGAATAAGAGAACATCTGATGCAGAAGCCTTGAAGCAACTTGATGTAAGCTATTATACAGTCATTAACTGATTTAGCATCCCATTCCAGGAAATTAACCCATTCGCTCCTGGAGATTTTGCCGAAAAACGCGTTTTGAAGCTAGTCGAGTGGTTTTCTGGTCACTGTCGTGCTATAAAGAGCTAAAACTTACCACAAACCGGTTTACAGGTCGTACACTTGGCGGCCTTCTGATCCAGATGCAAAATATCAGCTTACGAAGCTCGGGCATGCGCAGAAAGCAAAATTTCGACATAGTTTTTGGGTTTAAAAGTGACACAGCAGTCTTGACTTTTACTTTTCGCTTTCTCTCCTCCCTTCTTTTTTGGCTTTTCTTGCCTCATTTTTTTTTTCTCTTGCTGGGCATTTAGTAGGCTTCATTTTGGTGGGAAGAGTTTTTAGGAAAGCTTTTAGGATCTTAGGATTAGGTGAAAGGAAAGGTAGGTGGGTAATGGAACAAGATTTTCATGGAGATTTTCAGGTCCTTGTCACGTGGTTTTTTGCTTCTTTCTCCGGTGTCCTTGACTGAATTGTGCTCATTCTGGTATGGTTTGAAAGATCTCTTCACCCTGCACAAGTTAGCGAAGAAAGTTGTCCTTGACCGTTAAAACTGATGACGTCACAAAGGGTAGAAAGGACCTGGATCCGCACGGGCGGTTACGGGCGGTTCAGGGGCGAATGGGTTAAAGATACACATTTAGGATTCTGACCCTACTGTGTATGATATAGATGGCACTGGATTTGAAGATTATCAAATGGATTCATCGAAGTACCCTGTCTCCTATGAAGAATTATCCACTTTTAGTATAGAATGACTAAATTTAGTCATTTAATACTAAAATGGGTGAAAAAGATGTGAAGAAATGGTTTTTAGCATTTTTGATAAACAGACTATAATTCAACCTTTAATTTTATAAAACTACCATTTTGCGTTGAAGAATTGCAAACATGCATTAATCTTAGGTTTTCCTTCAGTCATGTAAATTACACCCAGCTAATTTTGAAATGCAAAATAATAAGCCCCTCAGTGGATGTGCCCCTTCCAAAATATTAGCTCCTCCAAAATTTCTTTTTAAATAAGTCCTAAAGTTTTTCTGTTGGAATTTTATCTTGATTTGGTATCCACAGGGAACCTAGTCACTTATTAAACTCGAGGATTTCAGTTACAAAGCTTTAAGGAAACCGATAAAAATGCTATATAAGTACATGTGTTGCTTTTAATTCCAGGAAATGGTTAAGAAGGAGGTGGAAGAAGATCAGTCCGAAGATAAGAAGGAAGAAGAAGCTGAGGACGAGAGTGGCGATGAAGAGCTTGAATATGATGAAGAAGAACAGGAAGAAGTAAATACATTATTGTAAAAATATTTGTTTTGATTAACTGAATGAAACCACAATTTGCCAATGCAGACTCCAAAATAACGGCCGGTCAACAGACAATTTCTAGCGATGATAAACACTTGTCCGGACAAACTTTCGGTTTGCCGGTCATTTTGACCGGACATGTAAAGAAGCGACTAGAAAAAAACACTTCTTCACACCATTACATTTCAAGAGGACAAGCATCTTTTTGCGCTTTATGTTTTTGTTTGTTGGGCTAGTACGTTCAAGTTATTACCCTTTTATTTTTAACATTAATTTTTGAATGGTCAGAAGAGAGACGAGACATGAAAATTTCTGTGGCCAGTCAACATGACCGGCAACAGTCCCAAATTTATTTTGAACCCTTCAATGCCTTCAACCCTTCATGCAGACATTCTTAAGGGTTCGTCATGTGTTCCTGACCAACGCATGACGAACCCCTAAGAATGTCTGCTTTGGAGGCTATTCAATGCAAACATCAGCAAAGGAAATAAAGAAATTTGAAACAAAGTCATACTGTATTTTGTTAATCACAGTCCGCACCCCATTCAGTAAGGTTCTCAAAAGGGGTGCATAAGATAAGGCCATAAGTGACTGATCTCACAGCAGATTCTCCCATCAAATTTATATGCAAACATCAGGATATTTGAGTGAAGAATCTAGCAGGTTACCAGGCTGTCACAACTGTATTTAATTGACAGAATGTTTTACCTTGACAGGAGAATGACTACTTGGTTTCCCATTTTGATGATGATGAGGATGCATTTATGGATGATGATGACATGGATGAAGGGCCGATATACTAATGCAGTGAAGGCCAGAACCATGGTGGCATTTTGCAGTCTATGCAGCACTGTGAACAGACAGCGGGTGCAATTGAGGTATCATAGGAATGATTGGCAGTCAGGATCACAATTTATTGACAATCCAACAGTCACTGACAGCATCACTCTGACTGAAGTCAGTTAACGCTACCATAGTAGCTGTAGGCTCACTTATTACTACACCTCACTCAGAAACAGTTCCTTTCTCTTTCAAAGAGATAACTACATGTGTTTGAAGGTAACAAGAGTCTCGAGCACCTTGCCAATCAGGGAACACCCACTTCCCTGCAGTTCAAAAATGTTTTAGAAAGAAGGAGCTTGTCCACAAGTTTGTAGTTTAACTAGCTGAAGTCCTCCTTTGTCAGACTGGAAGTTTAGAAATGTCAGAACAGTGGCCAAAGAACAGCTTCTTGTTCTTACATACTGTTGACAAGTCATGCCATTAAATAACTTTAAACCATCATGGACAAATTTTCAGCTTTATTCCTCTGACTGTATTAATAATATTATAATATTTGATAGCTTCAGTTGTATTTCATGCATGTGGTCAGTAAGCTATTTGGTTAAGTTTTGGTTTAAGAGTATCACTTGGAGATACTCTATGAAATGTCAACCTTTCAACAAATTTAATTGAACTCCTTACATGGTGGCCAATTTACTTCAGGTGCTTTCCAAAAGTCAGAACTGGCCAGCAGGACCTTGGCCAAACCAGTCATTTTGACAAAGCAATATTAAAGCTTTTACCAAGAGTAAGTTTTCGCTGAAAAGCCATCTCCTTCGTGCATGCTATTTAGGATTTGACTATGTGGCTGGATAGTTTTGATTAAAAGTGAAATTCTCATTATGACGGTAATGGTCTGGCCGGTCAGTTCTGACAAATGGAAAGTGCCCTTAGTTTATAACTCAAGGCAGTTTACAGTCAACTTTCTTTTACCAAAATAATACCTCTATAGGACAGACATCTCCTTAAAATGGACAAACAACACACCCTAAAGATCACTGTCCCTGCAGTTCTTAAATCATTTTCTTTGACTCTCTATAGGACAGACATGTATACCTATTACTGGTACAATAATATTAAGTCGTACAATAATAATTATTAATACCAAGGCTGTGCTCTTATAAAAATAATTTGAAGGAAGGCCAGTGCTCTGAACCTGTGAAATCCAAGGTGACCAGTATAATAAATTATGATTTCAGTGAAAAATCTAAGATTTTCTAGTTGCCCCAGCCAAGAGCATAAATTAGGCACCATGGGCCACTGGGCCCCACTAGAGTACAATCTTGAGTACTGTTCTAACTGATGTCTGTTTTTAAACTGTGTTAACTTCACTGTAATGTTGCATTGGGAACCAGTAGTTTCTATGGCCTGCTTGTGGGCGTGTTAACAGGCCTCTATTCAGCAACTTCATCAGCATGACTATTCCTATGGCATATAAGAGTTGAAAACCTTTGCATAACACTGCTGTTGGTAGACGCTGCTGGATGGGTAAATTACTGCTTTGTTGACAATGTAGAGAGTATCAATTTCTACGTTTGTTTTTAGATTGTTATTCCACCAAGTTCCAATTTGTGTTTTCCCACTTGTTCCTTTGAAGTTGTTTTGAGGCTTGTCCTTTTTATCTATATTGCCATCAACAATTATTGTCCTGTTGCATGTACAAAGAAAAAAAGATGATATGAATATGGTGCTCAACAAAGGTCATACCGATGATCAAGCAATACTTATGCGTTATTGACCAAGTTTAAGGTCAGAATGGCTGGATATAATTTGGCTATTGTTTTTGGTATATTTTGTGGACCAACACTAAGTCGAGGTCAAGAAAAAGTTTTAAAAAAGAAAGAGCCCGATATCTAGCCATCTTGACTGACCAACCTTGGTCAATAAACGATTTGTTAATATGTGGTTCAGAGAGCTTCATTCTTGTGGAACAAATGTGGGAAATTCCAAGTGAGCCTTCTTGGTTAGCCTGTCCAGGGCTGGGGACCACCGATATTGCCAGCTACTTCCATTCACCAGGTAATTAAAATGAAATAGAGGGAATAATCAAAGTGTGACCATTTCCCAGCACTGTCCATTGTCAAACTTTCTCCTTGAATTTTTTTATGACAACCCTGCCCATCAAAAACAAAAGATTCACTTAATCTTTTCCCCTGGCAGAAACAGCCATTCAATAATTTATTTAGAAATATAATTTAACAAATTAATGGGTAATGTTTCCTTAAATAATATTATTACACTAACATTTAGATTCAGACTTGTGACCATCTACTGCTCTTACCGAGGGTTCACAGGGTCATTTTTATTCCAAGTCCAAGTAACATGATACCACTGATTGTAATTTATTGTGGTCACTCCTGTAACATCATTGGAATAGAAACCAAACAACAATTTCTAAAGAGAGAGAGAAAAATTGAAAAGGCATCAAAGGTTTTGTTGCACACAGTGTCATGGTTAGAGGTGCAGTATTGTGTCCTATCTCCTTGCGTATCATGAAGTACCTGTTTAATTAAACCAAGATGAAATCCTTTATCTTTGACAGGTTCTCCATCTCCTAAAACAGGTATCTCTTTACTGCTGCCCAATATGCCATCATCATGAAATCTCATTAAGCCCATGACAGACCATTCATCATTAGTCCAGAAATCTGCTGGTATACCATGTAAATTGATGTACTCCTGACCTTTCAGCTGGACTGCTTTCCCCATTAAACTTTCAACATACTGAGTGGTGTTTCGCCCTCCCTTTTGTTGGTACTCTAAATCAGAATAAAGCAAAAAATTGTTCCAATTTTATTAGCACTGGTTCATCTGTGCAAGGGGACTGTTGGTGAGTCAGACAACTGACAACCATCACTGATGTTTTGACAACTTAAAAACCCTGGTGGAAGGGAGCATTAACTTAAACAGAATCCTTGGAAATGTAGTGTTTTAGTGGCATACATGTGAACATCGTGGGAGGGTCTATTGAGAAGAAGGGATTCCTTGGGTGCCTCTTCACCCATCCTCTTGCCACAAGTATCTTTTCACCTTAGATACAAACTTTCATCAGAGGCGACCTTTCCCTTGTCAAGATTCTACATCTGCTTCAAAAAGCAGGTGGTAAAAATGTAATTTTCTTTCCAATCCAGTTGATGGGCAGAGAAGTCACCTGTTACACTCGGGGGTACATAACAAACAAATTACTTGTGCTTTCAGCAAAATTATTGGAAATAGTATAACTCTCAGCTTATGTTTACTTACACCAAATTCTACTACCTGTTGTTATGTTTGTGATATTCATATTAGGACCAAAATTGACATTCAAATTGCCATTAAACTGGAATAAAATGGCAAAGGTTGCAGTTTGAAAGGCTTCGTGGTTCATCTTTGGGATGTTCATTTGGCATAGACTGTCTTGAAATGCCAGTTTCTGCCAACCCATTCCTGTACAGACCTAAAGGTGCATGAAGGAAAAAAAACAAGAATTTATGTGTTAAAAGAGTCATGCAGCGCTCGCAGTATAAATTTTTCCAGATTAATTTCCAGTATATGATAGAACTTAACTCAGATTAACTACATTTGATTTCTAAACAGGTGGATCATTTTTTGAAACTAACTGAGGACTGAATCAAAGCCAATATTATCTTGAGTAGGCCACAGACTTATAGTAATGCCATTTTAAACATGTTTATGGAGGTTTAATAATCATGAAGCTGATAAACCTTTGGCCCTTACATTCTAAAACAAATTGGCCTTTAGATGTTAGTCTCACAGAAACGAGAACCAGATGACAAGCCAAGAAGAAACTCTAAAAGGATCAGCCTGCTAATTAAACAGTGACTTCTCATTACTCCCTGCCACTGGGAACATTTCCCAGTCCTACTTGATAGAACTATCATTGCTCTGATCCCTCAGGGATTACCTGAAGAAATCCAGACATGAACCTGACTGAGCCATAATCACTAGCATTACCACATCTAAAAGAAAATGTTACAAGACAAATTGTTTGGGTTAACTTGTGTTAATATAAGTGCTTTCAGTCCATGCTGATCCCTACAATATTTAGCCATGCACCTGTGAAATGAATGAGTACCAGGTCATTTTAATTATTGCTTATAATATATACTGTTGATCATACCTCTCATTGTCAAAATCAAGTCAAGAAAAAGAGTCGGCAAACATGAATTACAGTGATGTCATTATCAGGCTATAAAATAATAAGGTATTCACACCCACGATCCAACAACAACAACAACAACAACAACATAAGCTTTATTTGCATGACTATAATTATGTAGTTACAGTATTGCAAAAGCTTTAATATAAAAAAAAAACAAACAAACAAACAAACAAACAAATCATAACAATGATAATGCAATGATGACTGTAGTCAATCAAGTGTCATCAGCATGACTTGATAACAAATTATTACGTAAATCATTACATAATGAGACAAATTTCAACACAATGTGAATTTACGGAAAAATTCTGTGAATTCATCAATTTAATTATTAATTCTGTGTAAGATAGCTGATCAAAATCGACAAAATTTTTGTTGGATTTGATCGTAGAATTTCTCCCTTGGGATTGAGTATTTTGGACAATGGAAGAGAAAATGAAATTAAGCCTTCAATTTTTCCAGAGTTACAAATAGGACAGAGTCTATCGTTATGGAAGTTTGATTATATCTTCCAGTTTCAATCATGAGTTTGTGGTTACTTATACGAATTTTCACTAAATCTTTCCTATTCGCAGAATTTCTAATTAAGTCTAGATAACTTGAAATTTTATAATCATGTTTTAATAAGCTGTAAAATTGTAGTTTCTTAGAATGATGGATTGTATGTTGCCAATATGCAATATATTTTTGTTTTATTATATCTATATAGTGTTTGATCTTAGCTTCACTTAAATTATTAGGATCAAAATCAGGGAGGTCATAATATTCAGATATTTTCATAAGATTATTGTAAAAGCTATTTTTACCATTACAGTGAAGTTCTAGCTTAAGTACGAAAAGGCTTGTTTAACAATAGTATCCTCGTTTTTACGCAGAAGATACAATATGTAATAAAGGATGTTTTTATAAATATTAATAATTAATGGGAACCGTCCCAATTCACTTCTACTTGCAACATTTGAAGCTTTATTGCTTATTTCTAGGTAACGCTTGCAAAATTTCAAGTGGGTTTTTTCAGTTGGGGTATTGTCCCAAGCTTTAAAATCATGTTTTACATATACACCCCAAATTTCGCTATTATATGATAATATCGGGGAAATCATCGTTTCAAATATTTTGCAAGCAAGAGAAGGTTTTAATTTGCTAAAGTTTGTGTGTTTTCTTAAACTAAAAAGAGCATGAAGAGCCTTCTCCTTCAAGTGTTCGAGGGAGATATTAAAATTACCAAAATTGGGAAGAAGGCCCACTGGACACTATTGATATTATTGACGGGCTATATTTGTGATGTCCAGTACAATAACAAACAAGAATCTAATATGGATTGAGTCTACTAACACATGCCCTTGTCTTCAATAAAATCTTGTAGTCCTTACCTCAAAGTGGACTGATTCACAGTGTTAAATAATGGTCCAGGTGCCCCTCGAGGACCAGGCTCTCCTTTTGTTCCGTTTGCACCAGGAGGTCCTCGAATGCCATCAGTACCATTCTAGGAAAATAACATTTGATAGCTCAATTACCAATAACTGTAGGTTGCAGGAACTTTAAACTATCAGGTCCTATCAGATGGAACAAGCTGAGAGTTCTTTTATAAAGAAGACAACCAATATTGTTTCCTATTTGGAGAGGACATTTTGTCATATTATAGCCCATATCATCATTGAGCCGCGAGTGAGAGTACTGACAGTTCTAGATTTTAAGATATCTCTTAATCACAAGACATATCAGTATTACCTTTCCAGGTGGACCTTGATCACCTTTCTGAAACAGAAAATTTTGTTACAAAAATATTAATATAATCTAATAATAGTAATATAACTGAAATTATTGATATTTTCAAATTGTACGTTCACTATCTGTTTTCTCATATATTTGTTAAGAGCCTACAGTTAATTTTGGATATCACTGCAACCTACAGATTAGTTAGTTATCTGGTAGATGAAAAAATGTAGATGTAGAGGTAGACTGATGTAAAAATGTAATTTACCATCTTAGGTGACCTTTGAGTGCTACAAGTACCAGCACCAAAAATATAAAATAGAGTAAGAGTTTTTGTAAGAAATTTGTAAAATGTTTGGAACTAAAACATAAAGATCAGGCAGGAAATTAATTACCACATTTACTATTTGTCCTGGCTCTCCTTTCTCTCCTTTGGTACCATTCTTGTTGAGAAGATAAGAAGAAATTATTATGAAACAATAATTAAATCATTAAAATAGACAAACATTTATAAAGCTGTTAAATGCACATTTTGAAGTGCTGGTTGCTCATTTTTCATGAAAATGATTGGGAAAAAAGGTCAAAAGTTGTTGCTGTTATTAATGTTTTTAACAAACATTACTGACCTGTCCAGGCTTTCCCATATCTCCAGTTTTTCCACGCTGGAAGGAAAAAAATGAAAAAAGTACATTCAATTTGTAGTATAGGTTGATCACTCAGTTATTTGCAGGTAGCACTGAGCTGAAATAAATTATCAAAATATAAAGTTTTATCTTACTGGGCCTTGAGGTCCTTGATCCCCTTTCTTTGATAAAAAAATAGAAAAGAACATTCAAGTTATGGGTATTAAAAAACTCAAAAGGTTTGTTTTTATCACTAGAATATTAGTAAACAATATTAGTGAATAATAGAATGAAGACTTTACCTCCCCTTTAGCTCCGGTACTTGCTGATATATTCTGTGAAATTGTAAACAAATTAATATTATACACATGATCATGCTGAAGGAATTTTTCCAGGTATTCATGAGTCCAAACAAGGACAATATATACAATACTGTCTTAAGAAATGAGTATGGAAAGAGGTGCAGTGTGTGATACCTCTGCAAAGATTATCTTTTGTCCTACTTGTGCAGTGACAGTATAATAATTATACTGAAAAAATAATAAAATTTTCAATGTATATGTTACAGGTCCAAATTATATTCAGGTTAAAATGCTTTAACCTAGGTTGATCTTCATTATCCTTTAATATGTCTCCTAGCCCTAAATACATGAATAATTAAGGAATGCTAGGAGACAAAGGAAATTGAGAATCAACCTAGGTTGAAAAATCTAGGCTAAAAAATTTTAACCTGAATGTAATGTTACCTGTAACACGCAAGTGAAGTAAAAAAGACTTCAAGATTCCCAAATCTTTCCAGTAAACAGGGAAGGGGGAGGGGGGAAATAAGGAGGCTGCTTCTTATTTCAGAGAAATGGCTATAAGGCTTCCTGTTATCTAGAGTAATGATTCCACCACCACATCTGGGAAATCATTGTATGGCAAGCAAGTCCCCTTTCCTGTACCCATAGCCAAAGATGGTGTATCTTAAGGTCCCCTTTGCAAGGAATTTAATGTGCGTAATCGTGCCAGTTCGGGGTAGGTGGGAAAAGGCATAAGATTGCTTTTCTGTAGATAAAGCAGAAAAAATGGCTACTCCCCCAAAATACCTTTACAGCTATGTGCAGCCCGATGAAGTCATTTTCTTGGGATTTATAATCTAGGATATGATGTGATTATAGTATTTCAAATGTGTTTTGGTTTTACAATTTGAGCAGCAAAAAAGTGATGATAAATCTAAATTTGGAGGGCGTTTAAGGGTAGCACATATCCAAAACTGTCATCAGACCCAAGGGCTTCTTGAAATGGATATTCAGTCATTGAACCTTAAAGGACTGAAAATGCACACTGCATACACAGTCTATCTTGCAAACTGAAATTGTGTTTTTCCAAGAAGATAATGTCAGTGGTTTATAGGACTCCATGCAAACACATCCCCTCCAAGGAGGACATAGTCAGCCAAGGGGTGTTTTTCTAATGGTGCAGGCGCTGATCCCTGACTTTTTTTAGCAGGGGGTGCACTCGTCTCTTGCTCTACTTCATTTCAACACCAATAAACCACATAGTTTTTTTTTTTTGCAGAATACCAGTTGTATTAGAAAACCACAGGTCATCTCAGGGAAGGGGGGGTGCGCACCCCCTCCACCCTCCCCCTAGATCCGCCCCTGTGGTGCCCTTCAGTTGGGGTTAAGCATTACCATGAACTTCTGCCGATAAGCTCTGGGCTTATACAACTTCCTAAGGGTTTTGGGAAGGCTTATGAAGGGCGGGGCTTATATCCAGGGGACTTCGTACCGAGCTGCAAAAGAGCATTTCAAAACAATGCAAGATACTTAGCAGTACTGATCGAAATACTTTTCGAATTTACTTGCCTTTACAACTTCAAATCATCATAAAAAATCGAATTCATTTTAATACAAGCAAAAGAGGGCTTACATCCAAGGTCTTTTAACTGGATGTATTTTTTGTTTACAGGTAGATGGGCCAATAACTGGGGGGAGTTATATTAGCTGAAGAAGTTTACAGTATTCAAATGCCGTACTAATGCATTTCCACCAATAAGGACTTGTTTTCCATGAGCAGGCTCAAACACAATGTTACCATCTTCACCAGCTTGTAAAACAAGGCTTCCACCTTTTGTAACAATTTTTGGAGGATTCCTAAAATAATAAGCAAACACAAAGCAAAGAAAAGATAAACTTAAATTTACCTGTTATGTTTGAAAATTTAAGTGTTTGGTGGTGACTACCCTGGGGGCCAGAGGAGTTTTTCTTTACCTATAATGTCCTGATGGTTTTCAAGGAAGCTGTGACATATACTTCAACGATTAAAATCCCTACCCTTTCATACACCTGAAGCCAGAAAAAGGTACCCATTTCGGCCGGAGCCTCCCTGCAGAGGCCATTATAGGGTACCCCGGATGAGCATTCCCTTTCATTTTACTACGGAAGCTCCCGGGGAGCTCTGGAAAAAAAACAATCTTAGGGCATTTTCGCAAAGCTGTCCCTCGATTTTAATGAATTTCTTCTCTGAACCACAAACGATTAATATTGATAATGTAACTGCATTATTACACGATGTATGTACTGCGATAGCTGAATCAGTCGGTGCAGTCAAAAGGTCAGAATTGGCCAACCATCTGACTATGCAGAAATGACCACATGTTTTACTCGGATTTAATTTAGCATTACCTACATTGTAAAACGTAATAAATCTTATTACAAATATAATTCCTTAGACCCTTAGATCTCGCTCGAGATAAGGCAAACTAAACGCTGTGGTTTGATTCGATCTCGCACAGAACTCACTCTCAGCGACAGGCCACGCCGTATATATGACTTAATTGTGCTTTGCTTTTACATTGTAGGGAATTGTTACGCTTAAACATAAACTTAAGGCTTATATTCAAAATTTAACAAACCTTGCTTTGTTTTCAGAGAGACAACAGAGCAAAATACCGAAGATCAGAGCGGACGACTGTATCTCCACCATTTTCGTTCGCTTCAAGATGGGGGCGTTACCTGACAGGGACCGGAAATAATCCCTTGTTGTTTTTTAAAATCTGTTGAGTATACCTACCTCACTCAAGAATTACACAGCTTTTTCTCCAAACCCATTGCAGTCATGAAAGGAAACCGTATCTACTGTTGAAGAGATTAGCTAGGGGTGATTTCTTGTATCAAAAGAAGAACTTTTAAAGGGCGCGATCCAGTCAACCAAAATTACCGGAAATTTCGGTCCAAAACGCAATGGATCGGCTCGGTCCAACCGGAAAAGTTTCGAAAAAATTGGTCCACCTTTTGAGGTGGACCACTTTTCCCGGTCGGACCGGTCGGAATTTTTGTTGAATGGATCGCGCCCGTGGTCCACCTCAAAACCCGTTTTTTCGAAACTTTTCCGGTTGGACCGAACCGATCCGTTGCGTTTTGGACTGAAATTTCCGGAACTTTTGGCGGCCTCGACCCAGAGCGAGTGTTTTGGCGCGAAAGAGAAAGAGCACGCGAGAAGAGAAGGTGATTTACATATCCGATGTCACGCAATATTTGAAATTCTTCGTTTTCACTGTCACGCAATAAACACGGCACAAAAAAATACATCTGAAACCGTCCAGTGGAAGAAGCCAAGAAAATGAAATGTTATAAAAGACTAATATATAAACAATTTGTCCAAATCTCAGGTCTTTGTGGCCCACAGTTTCTGAGTTAGTTACCGAAATATTTCACGCACCTTTGTAGAGCTTTGTATGGAGACGCCATACTGGTGGACAGAAACTGTCCACCAATATGGCCGCCGGAAATCAACAAAAACATCTGGAGTTCACTTTTTCTCTAAAAGCTCTTCCTTTTCACTCGAGAACTAGCATACTTGCGCATAAACATATCTTCTAATACTTGAAATGGTTAAACTGCCGAAAATCAAGCGGAGAGACTTTTTTTCAAGGAGATAGCATTCCTCTTTTGGTGTCACGCACTGTGAAAACTCGGAACTTCAAACTGCTGTATTTTCGAAATGAAACATGCTTCGGGGCTGGAAACTTGTACAAAGATGTATTTCCTACTAATCTTCAACCTAGTGTAAATAAGAATTCGTAAAACCTCGCTTTTTTGACTTTGCAATCTGATGACGTCACCGTGAAAACCATCAATTGTTCGTATTTTTCATAAAGACCAAAAAACACCGCTTTATCATGATTTCGATTTGACATGTCGAATTTAGAAAAACTGTGAACTTTCATTAGGATTTGTCGTAAACTAATAGAGCATGGGGCTGCAACTTGACGTATTTTTACAAGGAAGTGGAGCAGTCTTGCCCTCACGCCATACATTTCCTTGTAGTTTGCCGAAAGTGTGCGACTAATCCCTACGAAACTTCGCAGTTTAACTAAATTCGGCAAGAAAAATCGATCTATTGTTTTGGTTTTTTGAGTAAATGAAAAATAAGAAATTTGCCACTTGGCGTGACATCTTCGAAACGGGTCATTGGTACGTTTTACATTTTATGTATCGGTCAAATCGAAACTTCAATATGCTCCCCCCCCCCGGGCATACCCCGCGCATTTGACACCTTTGCCGTCCCGGGGAGGAGGGAATTTGATTATCAGAGTCTTCCAGGGGGTGGGGAATTTGATCCGCATGCTTTAGGGGTGGGGGATTTGAACTGCACCCTCGATTTCATGTAAAATCTTTGGCGTGGCGAGCTATCATGGGGGACGCGGTGATCTCAATAGGTGGGATCTTTTTTTGACAGAACGCTTTGTATGTTGCATGACGAAAAAAAGCTGAGCATTCAGTTACCTTGTAGCAGCGATTTCCGCCACTTTGCACGAGACTTTTGTTCGTAATAAATACGCTAGTTGTGTTTCTCAGTTTTTGTTATATTTAAAAAGATTTTGTTCCACAACTGAAGGCGTTTCCACCGTCTTTCTGTCATTTTTGTGCCTGTGAAATGTCCCCGGGTGGGGGCATTTGATCACCTGAATGGACTCTAGTGTGGGGCATTTGAACGGCATTTTGGCCCAGGTAGTGGGGAATTTGAACAATAATTTTCAAAAAAGTCAAATGCCCGGGGCGTTGCCCCGGGGGGGCATGTTGAAGCTTTGATTTGACCGATACATTACATGGGAGAATCGGAAATTTCTGTTGGAAAACTCAAATGTCATTTATCTTAGCCTGCGTGGCAGGCGCAAAAAGGGGAGGGGGAGGGGGAGGGAGAAAAGCACTACCCCCCTCCCTTTTTCCCCTTTTCTCTATCCCCTACCCCTTTCGACGCCTGCTACGCAGGCTACATTTATCTCAAATGGTTTGTGGTGCCATTCCGTTTGGAAAGCTTTCTAAATGTGGGCTGTGTTTCGAGGCGATGCATTTTTTCCGCTCTTTTTAGTCTGATCAGAGGATTTGGATATATTGATTTTCTTTAACCGTGAAATAGATAGTAGACTAATACCCAGTACAGCCTGCGTAGCAAGCGTTTCTGTACGGTTTAGGAGAAAAGAACGAGGAACGAGAGTCAAAGACCGCGAGAAAAGTGGCGCAAGTAAAAGACCGGGGAGGGGGTGGGGAAGAAAGGAAGGAAACGAGCGTTTCCTTCCTTCCCCTCCCCCTCCCCCCTCTTTCACTTTTTGGTTCTCGTTTCATTTCTCGCGCGGTCAAAACCGAAAGTCCCCTTCCTTGGTATTTCTTTGCCCCGAAACCAAACGGAAACGCTTGCTACACAGGCTATACCCAGTATTACATTCTAATTTCATTGTTTTCTTTTGTCTGTTTTGTTTACTCGTTGCTATTTGGCACTAATTGTTACATATCGTTTCATGCGTTTAGTAGAATCACTCAGTCTATACTTTGTAGCGCGTCTTTCTTCCACTACGTCTATTTTTCTTGTAGTTTTATGTTTACAGTATGTACAACATTTCCACCCGGGCAGTTTGTGTAATGAAAAGCCCCCCCGAGAAACCTGGTTAACGCAAAGGTAATGCCTTTGACATTCTTTTACTTTTTTCTCCTCCGGAAATTAAAAAGAACCATGGATTGCAACACATTTTTTAACGTTTCAGCTCCTTTAAGTAAATTCGGATTTTAATCTACAAGGAGAGGAGGACCACATGTATACGCTATGCCGGAGAAAAATATAACACCGCCAGTCTTCTGGGTCTAATGTTGTTTTAGTTTTATGCACGTGTCATTTGCTTGCCCCAGGGGTGGGACCCAGGGCCAACCTGCCAGGGGAATTTAAAAATGGGTGGAGATGCAGGGTGGAGGAATTTACCATGGCAAAGTCGCCCGGATCAAGTGCTTCTCAAAGAGTATCCAGAAATAATCCATTGCCAATCTCATTATTTACATACTACTCTTTGTTGATTAAATTTGTCCCTTTCCTTAAAAATTAGCCAGTCACAATTCCATGCAAAAAAAAAAAGATGACAAGTGAGCAAGAAACTGAATAAAAAAAAGGAAAAGAGACAAAAGAGAGCAAGAGAGAAAAATCGAAATAGATTCATGTAAAAAAGTCCAAATTTTGGCTTATGCACATGCACAAAAAACAAAAAACCCTACTTAATAACAGCTGATTAGTCTAAAAAGATGTCCCTATTGTTGCAGAAATTATTTCAAGCCATTCCCAAAAAGTGAAAATGCAGTTTTTCCCACTACTAGCTGACTGTCTTAAAAGGGTTAAAGTGCTTATATTACCAAACTGAATCTCACTGATTTTAAGTTAACTGACCCTATCACAGTACTACTGAAAAGAAGGTTGAAATTCTTTAGACATAGATTTGTAGGATTATTTGACATTATTCACAGATGAGCAAATAAGCAGGCCAAATTCTAAGACAAATTAATGAAACAGAAGTCACTCAATCATGATGCAATATTGCTTGATTCACGTGACTTGAATGCATGTTTTCACATCTTTGCTGGTGGTGGCAGAGAGCAGGAAGGATGCCATTGTTTAAGATCACTCTTTCCTATTTTCCTTCACTGATGGCTCGCTCAGCAAGTTAAAAAAATTGCAGAGAAGCAGTATGGTGCAAAGTGATGCTGGTGTAAACATGATGGCAGGCTTTCCAAGCCAATATAGACCTTGCATCATTACAGCCATGACAATTAACAGTATCACTGTGCTTGCTAATTTCAGGGACCTTGGCCCTGCATACAGCAAAAGACCACATAAAACTTCAACATATCCAATCATGATGCGATGAAGTTCTGGATTCACATTTCGACCAAACAACACCTTCATGGGATGAACTTTTGCCAAGTCAACAAAATCTCTTTTCTGGTGGGTTGAGAACAAAACACAAATATTGTGATAAACAACTGCAAAACTTTAAAAAGAGAAGGCTTGTTGATGTACTGTAAATGATCTAATAGATGCACTCTCTCAAATAAATGCCTCTTGTCTAATAGACACCTCCCTTTAAATTTTTTCAGTGTGAATTAGATTCCTCTCCTTAACAAATGCCCCCTCTCTAAGAGATGCCCCCCACCCCCCGCATGACAATTAATTCAAAATACTAGGAAATAGCAAAAAAGGAGCAAAATCAGTTAATTTAGGCCTTGTTCGCACTTTGAAAAAAAATTTTGTTCTACTTGCAAAAAAATCTGTGAACAGGAAGCCATTTCTAGTGCAAGCAAAGGATAGGATAACGATGACAACACAGGGCGCTTTCCAATTAGTCAAAATTTCCGGAATTTCTGGTTCAGCGGTAAATGCAACACGTTTCGTCAGCTCGTCCCACTGGAAAATTCCCAGAAAAAGTGGAAAAGCTAAAAAGGTGGGCCCGTTTTCCCGGTTGGAATTTCCGAACGGAATGTCGTGTTCCATTTACGTTTCTCGTAGTTTGTACCAGTTCCAGGTCCACGGTCGGGCACCGCGACGTACTGGGGTTTACGACCAAATGGAACAACTTTTTACCGATCCGAAATTCCACTTTTGCTCCCACCGAAATTTCCGGGTTTTTTTCCTAAATGGAAAGCGCCCACAATGACCCTGAATGAGAATTCTGACATCGAGGTTGAAATCTGGATCTCTAGATGGCCTAGATGTATCAATGGATGGATTGGATATTTTGTTTTTTTTAACTCCATTGATATTTTCACCAAAAGCATATTAGTTTTGTTGAGTTTGTTTTACACAGTTGTGAGAATAGGGATGTTACATTTTTATTCCGACCCCCTACCTTCTCTAGGATGAGCATCCTCAGTAAATAACTAGTAAGTAGGAATCTATTTCCAAAGGAAACAACAAAAAATGAGGCCGGTAGGCAAGCTTTTTTTAAAGGGGTCTGACACTAAAAGTGAGATGGAAGGAATCCACTCATCCACAGGGGGAGGGGGGTTTGGAAAAAAAACGGAGTGTCTCATAGATGCAAATCCTTTTAAACGCCCCCTATCTATTTAACGCTCGTCTTGGAACCCTACAGTTAAATAAACATTCCGGGCATCTATTACATCATTAACAGTACACCAGTTTGTTACTGACAGTCCACCGCTGACAACTGCAAGGCCTCGTCTTAGATTGTGCGTGAGATTAATTAACTCATCACCTACGTACAGATTGCTGTTATTACAACAGCAAACTCTTCGGGCGCGAGAAGACAAAATCAGATGCTACGTACGATTACTAGCTCTACTAGAAAAGTTACAGACTAAATTTAGACTTAAAGAACCACAGATCTTACCATTTGCTTGTGAACTTCTGGAGCCATTTTGTCAGTAATTTTCACGAAGCCTGCTGTACAGAAGGCAAAAACCAGCAATCCTGAGATTGAGCTTTTGATGGCTTTATTAACCATTTTACCGACCAAGCGAGGTGTAATAAGCAAATTAACCCATGTACAAATAATTCCAATATGGCTTCCACGGTGTAAAACGCAAGGCGTTATTTGCAGCTAGTCACGTGATCTAGAGGTTAAGGGCGATAGGGGGAATGGGGTAAAAAGCTTGTAAAAGAACGAATAAATAACTTTTTCTGTTTTGTTTTTGGGCAAGAATAATCTGAAATAGCAAGAATAAGCAAGCATAAGCAAGAATTGAGCAACAATAATCTGACCTAGCTCATTCTCCCTTGGTTTGAGGGATCAGTGGTGGCTCAAGGGGAGGACCCCGCCTGCGCCCCCACCTCATTTATAGGGATAGTCTATTCCAGGCGTTCACATAGTGGAGTGCCACGCGAAGTCAGAGTGTAGGACCCGGGCCTACCCCGCCCAATTGCTGTTTTCCTTTGTCGCATCTCTTTGCACTGTCCCCACAATCTGAACGCCAGGGACATGCTAGCCAACCTGAACCTCGCAGGGCTAAGATAAATTATTTTCTAGGCCGGGTCCCCCTCTTTGGATGAGTGGGGAACTCCACCTACTTAGATCTGAATCTGCCACTGGTGATAAAGTTAGGCCGGCCTATAAAAGGGGGGATCCTTGGATCTACTACAGTGTTTTTAATCAATTGTCTATAGCTATTTCAAGAAAAGTTGTCCGAAAAAACGTGCACGCGACAATCCCGAGATCGCGAGAGGCAATATGGGATATGATCAATACGCTGTTCCTAGCACTGTAGCTGTCGAATCTTTATATTGCTGCTTTTCTTTAGCATTAGCAAACATATGTCTATAGTACGGTGGCCCAGAAGGGTCACACATGCAAATTTAAAATGTTGCTGCAAACTAAAAATTTTACCTGCAAATTAAAAATGTTGCTGCAAATTAGAAATAGTACATGCAAATTAAAAATTGTACATGCAAACTAAAAATATTACCTGCAAATTAAATATAGTACATGCAAACTAAAAATTGTGCTGCAAATTAAAAATGAAAAGTCCTGCGCGCGCAGTATGAGTGATAAGGACCTGGTCCGAGCCATGCGACCTGGCCTTACAGCAGTCAGACCATTCATGTTCATGTTTGTAATATTTTTAGTTTGCATGTACTATTTTTAATTTGCAGCAACATTTTTAATTTGCAGGTAAACTTTTTAGTTTGCAGCAACATTTTTAATTTGCATGTGTGACCCTTCTGGGCCACCGTACTACGGCCTCTCGTGCCATTCTTTCAAATTTCTTTGAAGAACAGTGAACTCAAAACCACCCACAATACCTTTCGGGTTTGTCGCGTGCACCTCATCCGACAACCTTTCTCGAAATAGCTGTATACAAGTAAGCAGCTCGGAACCTGAAGAGTGGTGTGGGGAAGAGAAATGTGAAGGAACCCACTGAAAGGCTTCGCAAAGTTTCACCCTGAGAGTACGAGTAGGCGGGATAGCAAAAGTCAACAACAACAAGAACATGTAGACGAATTTACTGTGCACAAATAATTTATTTACATATATAACTAGTCTTTAAGGACTACATACATTAGGCCAAGCAGTAAAGAGCTGAACACATTATTTAATTCATCTTTTGATGTCAATGAAAAGCGACAAACGGCTGGAATAAGATTCAGGACGTGCAAATGGAAGTTCATCCGTTTCAATTATACCCGGCGTTTCCTTCCGAAGAGGACCGCAGGCGCCTACGGTCCTCTTTTGAAACATAATTGATAAAACCTGTTCTCTACGTACATTTTTGTTTCCTTTTAATTTTAATGTAATGCCCGTTCTCAGGTATTACAAAACTCCGTTATAGGTATAAATAATCAGATAGTAAGATCAGTTACTTTTATTTTACTCCAGCCTTTCTGTCTCTTTTGACGTATATAAAAATGCCTGAACTTAGTCCATGAATAGAAGATTTCTTAACCTGATAGTAAATTACAGTCTCATGTTATGAACTTGTAAGAATTCTAAGGCCTGTTTCGAACGTCGTGCTACTACCGTGCTAAGCTGGCTAGACGGTAGCTCGACTGCAGCACGACACTAGCACGACTTGGTTTCAGATGTCGAATTTAATTCAGTCAAAAAGAACCGCTGTTGCCAAAAACAAAACACAAAAATAAAGAAACGGTTTAGTAAACTTTTAAATATATTCTAATGTATTTATAATTTATGAATTGAGTTCGGCACGGCGGTAGCACGACGTTTGAAACCAACTCGAGCTAATGCCGTGTATGTAGCACGGCAAGGCTTGCCGTGCTACACGGCAGTAGCACGACTTGGTTTCAAACGTCGCGCTACTACCGTGCTAAAGTCGAATTTAATTGGATCAATTGAGTTCAACACGGCAGTAGCATGACGCCCAACAAGTGACCTCCAAATTGACTCCCTACAGATAATGGTCTGCTCATGCGCATGACCCTGAAAAACCCTATCCAGCCAACTTAATAAATCGTGTGAGCAGTTGAATTCATCTGCCTGTGTCTTGATTTTCTTTTTCTGTTTTTGACTTTTCTTCACTCTCCCTTTTTTGTCCACGGCTACTAAACCTGAGTTAAAATTTGCCGAAACATTGGCTGAATGGCTTCTTTTTGACTTGCCTAATATGTTAATTTAAAGACTCTTAAAAGTATTTAAATTACTTCGCATAATTTGTTCTAGTTTCATTTTAAAGTTTATTGTTTTGCCACGATACAAAGCAGGAAGTGCTTAAATATTAAAACGTTAATTGCGAGGAAGCTCAAGGAACTCACTTACCTTGTAAGAAATAGGCTCCCTCAATTAATTATTATAAAAGGAGCAATTATCAGAAGTATACAAGTCAAATCAATGACAGAGATACCCAACAATACACATTATAATGTATAATATGTATGTTACCTCTTTTCTTAGGCATGGCGGCGTTACGATGAGGCCGAAACGTCAACTTTTTACTATTATTTATACTTGTTTTTACTTCAGTAAATCACTTGTCTTCATTTTGAAAATCTAGAGATCCTCCCTGTGGCAAAGTAATGGAAAGTATAAATTGAGTACCACTTCCTAAACGTGCTTCAGGGGAATATTGAAAAAATGTTACGTTCAGTCAGGATGCCAGCACGCAATGTTTATACTTTTCGGTTTTGTGGAACTGTCTTTTGTAGTTATTCTGAGAAACTGACTATTCTGAGAAACTCTCATATGTCTTATTATTGTCTACAGCATCACTTAATGAATACAGCTCAACTACTAACTGCACACCCTACAACCACCAATCGACCAACTACAGTCTACCAACTTATCTGCACCAGATGTTGACAGCTTACATAACTTGGATGTAGGTACGTTCAAGCTTGCTAACCATGAAAATTACAAACGCTTTTTCCAATAAACAAAGTGTAATAAACAAACCTTTAACCTTAATAATTTCAAGCACAAGAGAACCAATGTAAGCGTGACAGCTAAACCCACGAGGCTCTAGCTTAAAGCAAAACAGGAACTCTAATTAATGTAGCTAACCATCAAGGTCAGCGATAGTCCCAATACGTGCCCATGACCACTTCAAGGACTGAAACTCAAATTTGACAATATACTGAGTCAGCCGTCAGCCGTTTCGCGTTACGACTTGGCTTACAGAATGTGGAATATTACGTGGAATACGCCTAATGTTTTTCTCATTCACGCCGTTATATGACTATACTTTAAATGATCGAATTTTGGGGGGCAGTTTTACTGCTTAAGTTTGTATCGAAACGACCGGTTTCCATTCTTCATATTCCGGTACAATGCTCACTCCATTAGTCCATTATTCTGCTGGAAATTCTGTCTGTTTATGGGGGAATTTACATTCTTGAGGATTATAACATATCTTATGGCATAAGGAACAACTTCTAGGACTTTCGATTAGTTTTATGGCTAATTTTTGAGACCCTTAGTTTTGCCAGTTGTTACGGAAGGTTTTTCCACGTTCGAACGACTTTAAGGGCTAAAAGGGAACTCGGGGTTTGGACTCTGGAAACTGCCTACCAAACTGGGGAAACTAAACTCAAAGGGTAGCTCGCTCGTGGGTAAGAGCCGTCACAACTCTCAGGACCGGGATCAATCCACTACCTGGAATGCAGCAGAGAATAAGGCAAACTTGACTTGGTTCCAACAGCGTTTATTCTTGTGCGAACGATCGAGGAAGTAATCAAGTATGTATCAAGGATGTCGATGCCATCGATGTAAACAAAAAAACACTACAAACTATCTCACTTATATATCATTATTACAGATATTCAACACAGGTTTTCAGGTATTTACAGGTATAAACAGGTATTCAGTATTTACAGGTATTCATTACAATAGATAGACAAACAAAGTTAAGCGAAAGTTATTGTTGCGGATTCTATTTTAGGAGTAAAAAGTACTAGGACAATAAAATAGCAAAGTTTGCCAAGTCCGCAAGGCGGCTTTTAAGCACGTAGTTTCCGTTTGAATAGAATTGCAAGCTCAGCTAGCAGCTTTCTGGGCACGTAGAAAGACTGTCTAACTGCCTAGTTTTCATCTACTAGACTATACAACAAAAGCAGACATTTTCCGAATTTGCAGGTCAGCAAACTTTTGAAATTCTAAATTTTAGACGAAGCGAGTATTCACGGAAGTAAATTAACAACTATTATCTTTGCAGAAAAACTACGTGATTGCTCAAAAATACTTCCATTAAAAACGAGCAATATTGGTGTTACAGTGAAATGCCGCTCTGTTGTAGAATAAAGCTAATTAAGAAAAATAAATTAAAGTGGAGCAAAGTTCTGTTATTGAGAAAATCGATATTTTCATTAGCAATCATTACTGAAGTTGAACTCAGACAACTATATAATCTTATGAACGAAACGGAAACCTGTTAAGTTTGTTCTTTTTGTACTAAGAATAGGCCGCTGTTGGTTTTTGTAGGATTATTAAACAAAGCACAAGAAAGCATGAAAACAAAGCATTTCAAAAATAGCACGAGCCACGACGGCTGATTGGCTGAATGCCACTAAATTAATTGTAAACACAGTAAAATGTCTCATAATATTTAAAAGCTAGATATGAAACTCGAGGCAAATGAGGAATTTACGGTAAGTCTCTCTTCACACAGTGTCTGGATTAAACTTTATAAATCATGCTTCGCTGAGTTTGACCCATTTTGTTCATCAGTTATGTCAAATTTGCATGCTGCATTCCGAGTTTTTCGGAGATTTTCCGCTGGCAACTATGATTCGTTTTTCTTCTCTTTTCATGTCCTTCGCCCCTTGAGTTTCGAAAGTTTCGCCGAAAGGTTCAGTCTCCTGACCCTCAGCTTTTGACTGACATTCAAGTTCCACTGACTTGCTAGAATTCGTTGTTACGACAAAGACCTCTGGTGTATTTTCAAACTCGAAGAATTTGCGAAAGAAAAATATGGCCAAACTTCCTCTGTAGCCAACATCCAAAGCTAGCAAAACGCTGTCTAATTCACGGAACTCGCTTTGACGAGTTATCGCTCTTGCGACCAAAAATGAATTGTACAAAAATAATGCAATCATTCGCGAACCGTAAGAGAATAAAGTTATTCGATACAAGATCATCAGCGTTTCATCTCTTCCTTTACGCGGAAAATGTTCAGTAAACCAATTCCTTACGGTAGAAAGTTGCACAAAGCTAAGAGCACAAGCTAACATTGTAGTCGACGCGAACTCTAAGAGCAACGACACGCCAAGCACAACAAGAATGGGATAGTTTTCGTTAATACCCGGAATAATATCTATAAGAACGTTTGTTATGATACGCGCACCCCACAAAGCCGTCCACATCCAAAAATTAGCCTGTCGTACAAGAGCCCTGAGAAAGTTTTTGAAGTTGAAATTTTTCCATCTATAGATGAGGAAGATGAGAAAGCAAGAAACAATAGTCTCCACGAAGGTACTTGTAGTATTAAGGCGGTCAATATCTCTCTGCGAAAGTCCCAGCCAGCCTTCGCATCTTTCGATACGGCTCCCTGCACTGATAATGCAAATGACGCTGGTAACGAAGAACGTGACGGTGAAAAATGTTCTCGCAACCAAGAGAAGAACTGTACAGATCACTGCACCAACTAGGCGGTGGTTCTTCTCCATTGACTGTTTTGCAAAAAGATGCTTTCCAAAGGATACGGACTTTTCTCGCTTAAAATGTCAGATTAAGCGAAAAAAAATGACGCACCTTCTTGGTAACGATTTTCCAAGTTCCAGCCGACAAAGAAATGGGTAAATAAAGTAAACGCGTCGAGTTTTGAACTTGAAAACTTTTTCAAATTCGTGCGTGCCTGATTAGCGCGTGAAAAGCAAAAGATCTTGACGCCACAACCATGTTAGCCTGAGATCATGCCCTCTCCCTATTATCCCTTTATGTCTCTCACGGGAAGAGGGCATGATACATTTCTTTGTCGGATCACATGTAAAAATGCCAGATTCTGGACTTTTTTCTGATTGGCTTAGAAACAATACCTCTGAAAAACTCCATTCTGATTGGCTGGAGGTCAGGCGTCCCTTCTTCCGGTACTTCTTCCGGTCAGGATTATCAAAATGGCGGAAAGTACAGTGAGCGAGGAGGAGTTTTCTTGGTCTTTGGGATATAACCCCACAACGTCGACTGGATCCACTACCACTAATTTTCGGTCTAGGTTCAATAATCACAGAAGTAGGATCAACGCCCATCTCAAGTTGTCTTCTGAAAATAAGAGGAATGACGATTTTCTCTACCAGCATTTTCATAGTTCGGGACACTTAGGATTAAGCCATTTAACTATAAAGTTAATAGACAGAGCCATGGGAGAGAGGGAGTTGCGGAAGAAGGAGGGAGAGTGGATGTATAGATTGGGAACGCTGCGCCCTCAAGGACTTAATGAGGATGATGGTTTTTACGCCCAGAACCGAAAGACGCGCGCGGGCGCGCGCAGGAGATGATAGTGTCATCTATGACATTTTCCGTTAGACGTTTAAAATAATAGTCATTTCAGTTGTGATGCGCGCGCGTTACCTTCGTAATTCAGCAATTTAAAAGTTCTGTACGTTAACGGCTAGTTAGTCACCCTGAAGAAGATCACTGAATGTGATCGAAATATTGGTGGATTGAAAGGAAACTGTTTTCTGTCTTCATTTGTGATTAAGATATATATATATAAATTACTATTTATGATAAGAGGAATGCTTTCAGTTTACAGCAAAAGGAAGCGGTACTTGCTGCATTTCGAATTTCCAAACTAAGAGAGTTAAAAAATTAGGACCTGAAGAATAATATTGGCATTTATCCCCATGACTCGACCCTTTAGGCATCTGCACCTACCTTAGCTGAAGTCGAGGAGAAAATCAGACCTGACATTGACGCAGTATCGATGTGGGCAAAGGAAAACAAAATGAAAATGCATCCAGCAAAGACAAAGTACAGTATAATCTCGACCAGACAAAAAAATTGCAAATTCAGCAAAACAATCTCTTGACCTTTCTGTTGACGGCATGCAACTCACTAAGGTTGAGTCAGAACGTGTCTTAGGAGTATATATTGATAGTCATCTCACCTGGAACGAACACATTGACACACTGCGCCGAAAACTACTTCAAAGAATTGCAATTTTATCAAGAGCTCGGAAAAATACACCAGCCAAAACTGGAACTGTCTTTTGTGGCTATTCTGAGAAACTCTCATATGTCTTATTATTGTCTACAGCATCACTTAATGAATACAGCTCAACTATTAACTGCACACCCTACAACCACCAATCGACCAACTACAGTCTACCAACTTATCTGCACCAGATGTTGACAGCTTACATAACTTGAATGTAGGTACGTTCAAGCTTATTAACCATGAAAATTACAAACGCTTTTTCCAATAAACAAAGTGTAATAAACAAACCTATAAGCTTAATAATTTCAAGCACAAGAGAACCAATGTAAGCGTGACAGCTAAACCCATGAGGCTCTCGCTTAAAGCAAAACAGGAACTCTAATTAATGTAGCTAACAATCAAAGTCAGCGATAGTCCCAATACGTGCCCATGACCACTTCAAGGACTGACACTCAAATTTAATAAATGACATTCATGTTGAAAAACTACTTAAAAAGGTAAAAGAGAAAGGATCGGGGAAACCTGTTGAGAAAAATACGGATTAACTTCGTTCTACAAACTGATCATAACAAAACTCTAGGCACGAGTGACATGTCAAGCGCAAACATGGAATACTAAACTATTAAAAAAGAACCTACAAAATACTTCACGACAGTATATTGAGTCAGCTGAATACCAGAAACGCTTCCTAAACGTGCTCCAGGGGAATAAAGAATAAATGTTATGTTCAGTCAGGATGCGAGCATGCAATGTTTTTACACTTTTCGGTCTGGTACGTGGAACTATTTCTTCACTTGTGGCTATTTTAAGAAACTGACTATCTGGAGACCACAAGGAAATAATTTTCCCATGATTTATTTTGTTGTTTTTCGGTTTCTCATACAAGACTTTTAAACAAGTCAATAGTCTTTCTGATTTTTCCGTTAGCCTGCTCATGTCGAAAATGCATTATTCCTCTCCTTACCGGTCGTTTCGCTACAAGTCACGCTTCGATACAAGTTGATTCAGGCGAGGCCATGCAGGTGAATAGTTTCGCGTTACGACTAGGCTTACAGAACGTGGAATATTAACGCCTAATGTTTTTCTCATTCACGCCGTTATATGACTATACTTTAAATGATCGAATTTTGGGGGGCAGTTTTACTGCTTAAGTTTGTATCGAAACGACCGGTTTCCATTCTTCATATTCCGGTATTATGCTCACTCCAGAAGTCCCTTATTCTGCTGGAAATTCTGTCTGTGTATGGGGGAATTTACATTCTTGTGGATTATAACATGTCTTATGGCATAAGGAACAACTTCTAGGACTTTCGATCAGTTTTATGGCTAGTTTTTAAGACCTTTAGTTTTGCCAGTTGTTACGGAAGGTTTTTCCACGTTCGAACGACTTTAAGGGCTAAACGGGAACTCGGGGTTTGGACTCTGGAAACTGCCTTCTAAACTGGGGAAACTAAACTCAAAGGGTAGCTCGCTCGCGGGTAAGAGCCGTCACAACTCTCAGGACCGGGATCAATCCACTACCTGGAATGCAGCAGAGAATAAGGCAAACTTGACTTGGTTCCAACAGCGTTTATTCTTGTGCGAACGATCGAGGAAGTAATCAAGTATGTATCAAGGATGTCGATGCCATCGATGTAATCAAAAAACACTACAAACTATCTTACTTATATATCATTATTACAGATATTCAACACAGGTATTCAGGTATTTACAGGTATAAACAGGTATTCAGTATTTACAGGTATTCATTACAATAGATAGACAAACAAAGTTAAGCGAAAGTTATTGTTGCGGATTCTATTTTAGGAGTAAAAAGTACTAGGACAATAAAATAGCAAAGTTTGCCAAGTCCGCAAGGCGGCTTTTAAGCACGTAGTTTCCGTTTGAATAGAATTGCAAGCTCAGCTAGCAGCTTTCTGGGCACGTAGAAAGACTGTCTAACTGCCTAGTTTTCATCCACTAGACTATACAACAAAAGCAGACATTTTCCGAATTTGCAGGTCAGCAAACTTTTGAAATTCTAAATTTTAGACGAAGCGAGTATTCACGGAAGTAAATTAACAACTATTATCTTTGCAGAAAAACTACGTGATTGCTCAAAAATACTTCCATTAAAAACGAGCAATATTGGTGTTACAGTGAAATGCCGCTCTGTTGTAGAATAAAGCTAATTAAGAAAAATAAATTAAAGTGGAGCAAAGTTCTGTTATTGAGAAAATCGATATTTTCATTAGCAATCATTACTGAAGTTGAACTCAGACAACTATGTAATCTTATGAACGAAACGGAAACCTGTTAAGTTTGTTCTTTTTGTACTAAGAATAGGCCGCTGTTGGTTTTTGTAGGATTATTAAACAAAGCACAAGAAAGCATGAAAACAAAGCATTTCAAAAATAGCACGAGCCACGACGGCTGATTGGCTGAATGCCACTAAATTAATTGTAAACACAGTAAAATGTCTCATAATATTTAAAAGCTAGATATGAAACTCGAGGCAAATGAGGAATTTACGGTAAGTCTCTCTTCACACAGTGTCTGGATTAAACTTTATAAATCATGCTTCGCTGAGTTTGACCCATTTTGTTCATCAGTTATGTCAAATGTGCGTGCTGCATTCCGTTTCGGAGATTTTCCGCTGGAAACCATGATTACTTTTTCTTCTCTTTTCACATCCAAATCGCCCCTTGATTTTCGAATGTTTCACCACAAGTTTCAATCTCCTGCCCCTCAGCTTTCGACTGACATTCGTTGTTCGAATTCGTTGTTTCGACGAAGACCTCTGGTGTATTTTCAAACTCGAAGAATTTGCGAAAGAAAAATATGGCCAAACTTCCTCTGTAGCCAACATCCAAAGCTAGCAAAACGCTGTCTAATTCACCGAACTCGCTTTGACGAGTTATCGCTCTTGCGACCAAGAATGAATTGTACAAAAATAATGCAAGCATTCGCGAACCGTAAGACAATAAAGTTATTCGATACAAGATCATCAGCTTTTCATCTCTTCCTCTACGTGGAAAATGTTCAGTAAATCAATTCCTCACGGTAGAAAGTTGCACGAAGCTAAGAGCACAAGCTAACATTGTAGTCGACGCGAACTCTAAGAGCAACGACACGCCAAGCACAACAAGAATAGGATAGTTTTCGTTAATACCCGGAATAATATCTATAAGAACGTTTGTATGATACGCGCACCCCACAAAGCCGTCCACATCCAAAAATGAGCCTGTTGTACAAGGGCCCTAAGAAAGTTTTTGAAGTTGAAATTTTTCCATCTATAGATGAGGAAGATCAGAAAGCAAGAAACAGTGGTCTCCACGAAGGTGCTTGTAGTATTAAGGCTGTCAATAGATCTCTGCGAAAGTCCCAGCCAGCCTTCGCATCTTTCGATACGGCTTCCTGCACTGATAATGCAAATGACGCTAGTAACGAAGAAAGTGAAAGTGAAAAATGTCCTCAAAAGCGAGAGAACAACTGTACAGATCACTGCAGCTGCTAAGCGGTGGTTCTTCTTCATTGATTTGCTTTACTGCTTTTGGTGTCCGAACGAGTCGCGATCAGTAGGGCATTATAATTCTGTGTCTAATTTGAATGTTTTCTTTTTTTCCTGGAATTTAAACGGAAAGAAACTAACCCGGAAATAAAGAAAAACAACCAATCACGATACAATAGGTTCCTGCGCAATTGCTATCGTCGGCTTCGATCTTGTTTGAGTGTTTCTGATGCAATGGAGAAAGATTATATTATTTTTTCTCAGGACGGAAGGAGAACGAAGAGTAGAAAGACAAGTGAATAAAATGCAGGTCAATATGACAGCGGTGAGATTTGCACAAATGATTAGAGTAAGTCATGCCACAGATTATTGTAATTAAACTGATTTTTTCGTGTTTTCGTGGGGAATGCATGGAACAGCTATAGAAAAATTAAGGCTGATGATGTGGGAACTCTAACGTCAACTATTTTGATTGCTTTCCAGTTCGATGCGACGAGCATACCAATGGACCGTGGGTCATTCGTTGGGCATAACTCGTGGGTCACAAATCGAAAAAATCCAGCTAAACCAAACTATCATTTGTCGAGATCCTGATCAAACCAGCCGGTTTTGTGGGAAATTAAACACAAAATGGTGCATCAAGAGGGAAAAATCAGTAGAATTTCCTACCAACGAAAAGATCATGAAAATAGTCTCGAACATCAAAAGACTCGCGCCCAACCAAAACATGATATAGAAATCCCATAAACGGCTGGTTCATGATCTCAACATAATATGATAGTTTTCTCAGTTTAGTTGGATTTTTTCGAGTTGTGAAATTTACTGAGAATAAAGGACTGCCGGTCATTTAGTGTTTTGCAACCTTGACCGGCAATCGACCTGAAAATAGTTGTAAGTGTCCCAAAACATGGTTTCGCTTTCTGAGCCCTGTCCGAATTTCATCCGATTACTTCGAGTCGTTATTACTCCCTCAGTTACTGAATAACGACTCGAAGTAATCGGATGAAATTCAGGCTATTCTGAGCCCAGTGTAAACCAAACGCTAAACTTGAGATCTATGAAGCGTTTCAGAAGATTTCAGAATCGCTTGACTTTTCTTAAGGTGACTCGACCAATTTTTTTTTTGGGGGGGGGGGGTACCATCCTACTTTGAAGCTCTCTGGTATCCCCAACTTTACTTTTATCGTAAGTCTAACACATAGAGGGGACAACATATAGATCAATCTACAATATAACATAAAATTTTTGGCGATCGGAGTAAATGTCACGTGGTTATAATGCCACGCCCCTTTGAGGTCTGAGTCGAAAATCTGCTGTGCGCATTATGTAGTGCCTTGCGCTGGACAGAGTTTCACCAAAATCGCAAAGAACCAACTCGAGAAATTCAGCGGTTTCCAAATTTAGGTCATAATTTATGCGAAAATGATAAGCAAACTTTACACGATTATACCTAATAAACTATGTGACTTATCCCTTTATTTTGGGGATCATTATAACAGATGGGTTCTTGCAAGTCAGCAAAAAGCTTTAGGGCCTTGTAAATGTGCGCGATTTTGAGCAAAGCAAACATATAGAAATTATAGTTTTAGCTATTTGTTGACGTTTGTCAGCGTTTAAGAGTTCTTCTCACGAAAAAAGCATTTTCTTAAAAATTCGTAGTCTTTTTTCCTTCAAATTTTTTCAGGGTCACAATTGATTAACTAACTACCCGGATTCTGAATTTCAAGGTCATTGAAAAAACTGTGACATTATCTTCTATAAGCCCAAACTTGAGTAAACATTGAAGACTTTTTAGCGTTTTGGCTGAGTTTGTGCTTTGGGAGTTGTCTATTGGTTCTAGTCTGTCATTATACAGCATTCTTGTTCAGCACGCGTGCAATGAGCACGCTTGGCTGACTTCCGAATGCTCTCATACTAATTATCATATCTCGGTGAGCACTCGGAAGTCAGCCTGTCAATAAAAAAAGGTTGAAGGCTTAGAATATGAAGGAGTTTTCATATCAAAAATACTATTCACTGTAACGTGCTCTGTTCCTCGACCCTCGACCCTCGACAAAAAGACATAATTAAATAACAAGCAGTCAAAATCGAATGACAAGAAGACATAATTGATCATACTGATTGAATGAGAACCGGACATAATTGAATGACAAGAAGACATAATTGAATCTTGATGAGATATAGTAATTGAATGACAAGAAGACATAATTGAATCTTGATGAGATATAGTTATTGAATGACAAGAAGACATAATTGAATCTTGATGAGATATAGTAATTGAATGACAAGAAGACATAGTTGAATCTTGATGAGATATAGTAATTGAATGACAAGAAGACATAATTGAATCTTGATGAGATATAGTAATTGAATGACAAGAAGACATAATTGAATCTTGATGAGATATAGTAATTGAATGACAAGAAGACATAATTGAATCTTGATGAGATATAGTAATTGAATGACCAGAAGACATAATTGAATTACAAACGGACATAATTGAATGACAAGCAGACATAATTGAATCTGCACAGTGAATAGTATTTTTGATATGAAAACTGCTTCATACTATCGCGGCCAGCTGTGACAGACGTTTGCATAGAGTTTCCTTTCCAAACACGTAAAACTGGTTTGTTTATAATTTTCGGGTCGGTTGAGATAGGTTTCGATTGAATGAGCTCCATAACTATCAATAATAATTAGGTATAAAATAAAGATATCCACTCTAACTTGCAACTAAGAACAATTTTCTTTAGGATAGTTTTGATTATACAGTAGCTCATGTCTCTTTTAAACGAGCGTCCGTGATCATTTTAAACACCTGACTACTTCTTATGTTAATATATGTTTTATAGCCCAGTATATAAAAATTCACGACACATGTAGATTCTTGTTATTCGTATTTTTAATTTTCTTTTCCCTACATTTCCTACCAACAGCTCATCCGTTACTAAAGCAAAATAGCAATACCCATTAGGACACGTTTCGTTAAAGTGAACGAAACCCCCATAAGTGTCAATAACTGCTTGGGTATAAAATAAAGATATTCACTATCGTAACAATATTTTTCTACTAATTTTGATTATCACCTCAATTTGTCTTCTTTTAACAAAGCGGCCCTCACCTGACTGCTTGTTATTCGTACTTTTGATTTCCTTTTCTTTTCTTCCAACAACTCATAGAGGAAGAGAAATATCGACTGTTCGTTGTTGTTGTTGTTGTTTTTTTCAACCCCTTATTTATAAAAATTTATTATTGCTTTTTGCAGCCCCAGACGAAGGATAGTGTTGTCTAACCAAAATATCGGGCAATTAAATTACCCTATCTTTTGCCTGCCAGCTGGCATTTGATTTTACGTTTTATTCTCATTACTGATCCTGATCTACACCAAGATCCGGCTTTACTTCGCGGCCGTTTGTCCAAGTGGCTATGCATTATTTAACAGTTAGTACTTACCGATAAAGTTCTTGTACCCCTATCATAGTAAAGCTAGGTTTTTCGGGTATATTACATAGTAGGATGGTGGCACTTTCTTGCAAAACATTTAAATGTGGTCGTGTGGATTTGCTTTCACGCCAAAAGGAAACATTTTTCGTAAACAAAAACGAATGCCCTCTGACACATGCTACAGTTTTTCTTTTGTGACCGTGTTTGGACAAAATGTAAAATGTTAATGTATAGTCAATACCCACAGTAGTTTACTAAGGTACAACTATCTTGCCCCACCTCCAAAGCCAGAGAAAAGCGCCCTGGAGACGAGGTTGCCATGTCCGGCGTCTTCCTAAGCGTTCTCGGTCAATCAGGAGCCCATCAAATCATTTGATGGACTCCTGCGGTCAATGCATTTCGGTGACGTAGGCCCCGCGGATTAATGAACCTGGAGACTAGGCAATCGCATAACCTTGCGGGGCTCTAGGGAGGGCATTAAACAGATGCTTTTATCAGTATCAGTCCGGCAATTTAATTATGTTAATATGTGCGCTTTCAGCATCTTTCATTTGCATCCTAATGTTACTTATTTTAAGTTTACACCAAGAAAGAACAGATAGAAATTTAGTAGTGATGAAATTAACTCATTATTGGAAACAATGAACAAGAAGAGACAAAGGAAAGGAGCCCTCGAACACTATTTCTTTATTAGCTCTTTATTCGTAAATGAACAAGCTCTTGCTTGTTGTTTACACTTCATGTCACTAAACAATAAAGATAACACCTTTGCATTTTTAGTCCAAGATTAATATACTTGCCCCTAAAGAACAGGTGACATGCCTTCATAAAATATGCTTAGTATAATATACTTGCAGTTGAAAATCGCTTAATATCAACGAGGATTCAAGTAGAATTAAGAGCTGGCAAGAGAGAGCTGGAATTAGAAGCCCAGAAAACTAACTCGATCACAGGAGAGTTGCCTTAATGTTTCTTTTACAGCTTGTCTTATTTCTCTGATCTTCCAACTGTACAGCAACAATACAATACAATAAAGTACATTTACAGTGATAACGTTAACTGCGTTAAATTCAGATAATTTTACCTTGAAACCAAGTTTTAAATAGAGCACGAATCAACGGATGGAAACCGTAACAAAACTAACTCGATCTACAGAAGAGTTGTCTTAATGTTTCTTTTACAGCTTGCCTTACTTCTCTGATCTTCCAACAGTACAGCAACGGGTTTAATGACGAGTTTAAGAGAACCATGCTAACTGTGAAATTCCTGGCAAGGTAAATCGATAAAGGCATCCCTCTCCGAGGTGTCAAAAAGACCGCTATATTATATGGAATATAACAAATACCCAATGTTCCCTGCACCCACAGTGCACTGTACACTGCCTTTCTGTATCGAGCTATGTTCAATGGAATTGGTTGGCTCGGTTGTCGTTGAGCAACATGGTTCTGAACACGAATTTGATTTTGGCGCAGAGAGAGAAAAATTTTTGTGTAAGCGAAGATTGTGGTGACTAGACACAGAGCTACAAAGATGGGTTGAAACCATAATGTTATAAGAGTATTCCAAAGGGTTGTAGATGCTCCTACAATGGACAAAATCCAAAAACCAGTTACAGCTATCTGTGTTCGTTTCAAAGTTACAACTTGTCTGTATCTGTGCCCGAGCAACAAGGCGAGAAGTCTGTCCACGCTTATAGCGGTCAGTGTCAATAAAGACACATAAGACAAAGTAGTACCTGAGAAAAATAGTACCAGACTCGTGTAGTGGCAAATATCCCATCTTCGGTTCACAACAGAAGTTAAGTAAGTCACAAACAAAGGCTCTGTAATTATACCAACACAAAGATCAGTTATGGCCAGGTTACGATACATGAGTTTGGACGGCGGATGAAGCGAAGTTTCCTTGTGCAGAGCAACTAGGATCAGAGTGTTCCCCAGAAATGCTGCAATGGACAGGAAAACGTTTAGAGCTGAAAGGAAGATAAGTTCGCCATCTAAACCTCTGAATAGTTCAGCCGAGCAGTACAGTTCAACGACTTTTTTCTGATTTTCATCTTCGGTGAAATTTGTCATACTCCTCTGAGACGCAGTGAACTACATTTGAGTGTTTTATATGAATTCTGAATCGTAATTTGGTTGAAAGCAGAGTTATCTTTCAATTCACGCCAACTATTTGACTAAACGGACAAGATCGGCATTGTTATTCCCTTTTTCATTTTGTCGCTTCAGTTTCACAATTATTGGTCAGAAACAATTTGCAAAAAGCATTAACATACAAAAAAGGGTTGAGCAAAGTTGCTCGGTACTTTTCAATCTAACTGATCGAACTATGATGAGCCAGGTGTTATGTCACAGGTGAAACCTAAACTCGCGGTTGATTTAAATAACTTTTTTGTTGGCGGCGCATTGCATGGCAACGTGACATATATATCGCAGTAATTTCAAGGAAATTCCAATAACTCAAGGTTTTTTAAGGTTTAATGTAAGCTTTAGCCACCACTCCTTCCCAATTAAATTTTTCTAAGACAACGTTATTGTAATTAGGTGTATTTGCTCTATGTACTGATCACGCATGTTAAAATGGCTGGAAAGAGATGTCCACATGTTTACAACAATTAAGACTCAATTAGGATAACTTTTAATTTTGGGTCCGTTATGATGAAAGGGAAAACGTACGAAAACATCATGACCATCTTAGGGGAAGCAAACCCTTCATTTATATATCACTCTTATATAAAATGCAGGATGTGAATGAAGAGGAATAACATTCCTTCATCTTTAAAGTTAAATGTAATTAGCCAAGGCTAGATATTGACGCTGGAATTTTATTAGCTAATTCTTCAATCTGTAAAGCATCGCGATCCTGTTTCTAACGAAAACAAAAGAGCTGAGTTTCATTTTGTTCTTTGAGGTTATCACAAGGAGAAGAGAGGTTTAGCAAAAGTTGAGAAGTTTTTCAAGCTGACGCTAACTTTACTTTTATCATAGGGAGCCTCGTGAAAAAAAGGCGATCACCCACGATTGTAATGGGTTTTCAGTAGTAAAGGAAGTCTAATAGTCGGCAAACGCGTCAAACTGTGTCGGCTGCGGCAAGTTTGGTGTCTGTTATTATATCATAACATGTAACATGAATAACACTCGTTTCTTATATATTACGGATATGTTAATTCCCGCCGATATTAACACCTGGTATTTTAATCCTGTTCAGACCTGAGGGGTCTTTGGAGAAAATAGGTATGTAATATTCCATTTTCACCAATTGGTTGCCGATTATCTCGTCAGAGAGCTAACTAGGTAAACGCACGCTGTTTTTTAATTAAAAGTTCTTAATCCTTCTTGTTTCATAACTATTTATAACCACCCCTTTTAACAAAAACAAGCGGGCATAAACTGTCTTATGAACCTGCAACGAGACAGAAAACTATTAAGAGGAGAGGTGCAGTTAGATGATCGACGTACAGTACAATAGCCCACGTGCGATATATTAAAAATCTAACATGACTTCGAGGCTTTCTGGTCATTTTTCTATATTTGGTTTGGTGTTCTTTGTGTTCAAATCTCTCCTGGGAATTGCGGGACAATGGAGTGGTAAAAAAAAACCCTGCAGTTTTGACCCTTAAGCCTCGGAGTCTCAGAGTCATATTAGAATTTTAAAATATTGAACGTGGGCTTTTGTTCACTCTTAAAAGAACAAACTATTACTGCCCACCTGCCTATCTCTTACAGAGGGTACCGGCGGGGCTATAGCCTTTACAGGTGTTCAGATTTTGGGACGACGACATGAGGCTATAGAAGAGGATCGTATAGATCCAAAAAATGATCCACTGTAAACAAAGACCTTCTAATGCTTGCTAGCGTTTTCAAATACCCTCAGTTTTGTTAGGAAAAATGCAAATGTTAGTGACTGTGTAATTAATGCTCAGGAAATTAGTTATTAAACAGGGTGATCCTTCATCTCAAATTAAACATTTTTTTAAAGAAAGGAATTGCCTCATATTACATTTTGAAAAAAAGCGGTTTTTGCGCGTCAATTATTTTTACTTTACTGATCAGAAGTTTTGACGGATGTCTCAAATTTTATAGCAGCTCAGTACCAGTATACACTGTATCGAAAATTCAGGAAAACAAAAAGGAAGTCGCTTTCCCTTGTTCACGTCCTCCAAAAAACGTGATCAATAAGGCACTTTCACGTCGTAGTCGTGCAACGATGGCAAAGAAATGTACAGAAAAGCGTGATGGACGAGCAAAGTCGTTCTGTTGCTAGTATAATCATAAGCACATTGACTGGCATCCTATTTGTTTCTTTGCTATCTATTTATTCAAAAGGCCGTTTACCCTTCTCGTGCCACTAAATAACAACCATAACATCTTTAAACCAGCAGGAATAATATAGGTTTCCTTTGAACATACAGCTTATCGTTTCAATTAAAAGAAGCGGCGCGGCTTACCCTGAATACAATATATTCACAGGTTAGCTGCGTTTAATGCAGTTAATTTCACCTTGAAACCAAGATTTAAATATAGCACGAATCAACCACGGATGAAAAGCGTAGAAAACTAACTCGATCGACAGAAGAGTTGCCTCAATGTTTCTCTTACAGGTTGCCTTACTTCTCTGATCTTCCAACAGTACAACAACGGGTTTAATGACGAGTTTACGAAAACCATGCCAGCTGTGGAACTCCTGGCAAGGTAAATCGATAAAGGCATCCCTCTCTGAGGTGTCAAAAAGACCGCTATATTATATGGAAGATAACAAATAGCCAATGCTCCCTGCACCCACAGTGCACTGTACACCGCCTTTCTGTATCGAGCTATGTTCAGTGGAATTGGTTGGCTCGGTTGTCCTTGAGCAGCATGGCTCTGAACAGGAATTTGGTTATGACGCAGAGTAACGAAAATTTTTCCGCAAGCGAAGATTGTGGTGACCAGACCCAAAGCCGTAACTGTGTATTGAAACCATGAAGTCATGCGACGATTCCAAAAGAGAGTAGATGCACCGACAATGGACAAAATCCAAAATCCAGTCGCAGTTATGCATGCTCTTCTATAAGTTGCAACTTGTCTGTATCTGAGCCCCAGCAACAAGGCGAGAAGTCTGTCCACGCTTATTGCAGTCAATGTTAATAAAGAAACTGTACACAAAGTTAAACCTGAGTAAGTTAATGCCCAATATGCATAACTGCAAATATCCCATCTTTCGTTCACAACAGACGTTAAGTAAGTCACATAGAAAGGCTCTGCAATGATACCAACACAGAGATCAGTTATCGCTAGGTTACGATACAGAAGTTTGGACGGCGGATGAAGTGAAGTTTCCTTGAACAGAGCCGCTAGGATCAGAGTGTTCCCCAGAAATGCAGTAATGGACAGAAAACTATGTAGAGCTGAAACAAAGATAAGCTCGTCATCCACACCTCTGACTAATTCTGCCGAGCAGAACAGTTCTTCGACAGTTTTATGGTTTTCGTCTTCGGTAAAATTTTTCAGGGCCATTTCCTCTCCGGGGCAATGACCTGCAAGTGAGAGTTTTATTTATATATACTATTTTAATTTGGGTGAAAGCTGATATCATTTCTACATCTCTACAGTCACGTTAATTTTTCACGTATTAATAAATAATGATCAGAAGTAATTTATACAGTCATAAACATGCAAAAACTTTTAACTAAACGTAAAAGAAAGCTCACAGGGCCAAAAAAAGTCGAGCAAAGTTGTCTTGGTACTTTTTCAATCTAACTGACCGAACTGTGATGAGCCAGCTGATGTCACAGGTGAAACTTTAACTCACGGATGATTTTAACTTTTTAGGTCTTATGTTCGCGCGCATTGGTAACTTGACATCCCAATAATTTGAAGGAAATTCCGATAACTCAACATTTTTTAAAAGTTTACCATAAGCTTGAGCCATTACTCCTTCCCAGAAATTAAGCGATATACTGTATATACACCTAATTGCAATAGCGTTGTCATAGTTAAATCAGGTTAATAGAAATGAATTTAAAATGCAAAAAACAAATCGAAATTAATAAGGCTTACCATTAAACCACTATAATCTTTTATGGTGAATTTATTTTCAACATACACGTGCTGTCTTCGCTTCTATGCCCTGAAAACGCCTATTTGGCTATTTCTATTTTCATTTCCCCTTTACCATTTTTCTGAGACATGTTCATTGCAATCAAGTGTATTGCGCTACGTACGGACTACGCGTATGGTTAAGATGGCTGGAAAAAGATATCTACGTGTTTACAACAATTAGCACTCGGGGTAAAAGGAAATCGCACGAGAACGCCATGACCATCTCAGTGCAAGTGTTTCGAAGCGGCTATTTTATTTGCTAATTCTCCAGTAATTATCACGATCCGTGTTTCAAACAAAAACAAAAGAGATGAGTTTTACTTTGTTCTTAAAAGCTGTAGTCAGGGTTTATAAGCAAAAACAATGAAGTGTTTCAAGCTGACACCGAACTGTAATAAGCCTGTTGAAACTAACTCACTGACGATTTTAATGAGTTTTCAGTAGTGAAGGAGGTCTTGACAGTCAGTAAATACATCAAACTGTGTGGGCTGCGGTAATTTTGTTGTTTGTTATGAATGTGTGCGATGATGCGGACCTTTATCAATTCTTGTTTTAATTTTTATCAACTTTTTCTACAAAACTTTGAGGGAAAAAATTAACTCTGTTTTTAGTCGTACCACACCAGGAAAAAGGATACAGCAAAGTTGTCTAGTTTTTCAAACAGACATTAGTCGAACTATAATGAGCCTGGTGAAGCTGATGTTATGTTGTCGGTGAGACAAGTCTGCATGACGTTTTCTTCATTAATATCGCTGTAAGTTCCAGTAATTCGGCCAATTCAACCCAAGCTGCATTCAAATATGCTTGAGTCATCAGAATTTTCCTAGCAGAGCGTAATCCAAAAAATTTTCTTTAGAACAGTTTTGATTATAGCTCATAGTGTCTTTTTTTTTGAGCGAGCGTCCCTAATCAATTTAAACACCTGACTACTTCTTATGTTAATACATGTTTTATAGCCCAGTATATAAAAATTCACTACACATATAGATTCT